AGCGCGCTCGGACCCGGGGGGAGCGCGGCCCGCGCCTAGAGCGCAGCGCATGCGCCTCGGGCCCGGCGGGGCCCCCGGGGAGGACGAGGTGTGGGCTGCGGATGCCGGGGCGAGCTGTGCGCGGTGGGGGAAGCGGCACCGTTCGCTGACCTGGGGGTGCGAGGGGCGCGCCAGTTCGAGAGAAAGGGCAGAGGCCGGGGCGCGTTAAGAGCCTGGCCTCCCCGAATTTGCCTGGAAGCTGGGCGTCTGCGTGCAGAGATGAGGAAAGTTGAGTGTGGGAGAGACTCGGGGACGTGCAGAGGGCCCCCTCGGCTATTGAGGGGACCGAGCCGGAGGAAACCCTGGGCTGACTGAACCCAAATCCAGTCTGGCCCCATCACTGCCTCCCTGCGCCTCAGGAAGGCCGCTGTGCCCCGTTTGCGGCTGGACACCGCCAACAGGGAGGGAGTCACTGCTGCCCTGGGGCCCCGGAGCGCCCCGCAGAACTTCCACCCAGGTGGTTTTTGCCTTTCAGGTCGTTTCTCCGCTGAAAGGCAGCTGAGGTTGGTGAGGCCTGGGTAGACAGGGGGAGGCACCGAAGTGTTTTCAGCAGGGGACAGCCCGTATGGGGCCCTGCCTCGGGGCAGCGGCGAGGCCCTCTAAGACCGAGAACAGGGCCTGGCACAGGTGCGAGAGTTATCGAAGGGTGACCGAGGGACTGGTGGATGGACAGACTGCTGGTATCCTGGGGACAAGAGAAGGGAGAGCAGGAAAGGCTGGGGCCAAGGGAAGGCTGGATGGAATTGCCCACAGTTTGTGAGTCCAAAGGGAATTTTAGAAATCTTTTCCTCATAGCATCTATCACCTGACTCTGGGTCTCACTCCCCCCACCTGCCCCCGACTTCAAAGAGCCCGAGTTTGGCCAGAACAGGATCAGCTCCAAGAAGGAGTCCCAGCTACCTCTCTTTCCTTCTGGGGCCCTGGGGTGGGAGTCTTCCTCCCCCACCCTAGGGCCCTGCTCTCCTGGATCTGCAGAAAGCACCTGCTACCGTGTGCCTGCTGGGCCAGGCTCTCTCCCAGGTGCTCTCTCCCTGTGAAGTAGCATAATGCATGCCTCAGAGGTTGAGGCCGTGCCCAAGGTCACCCAGGTCAGGGTCTGCCTGGGGGCCTGTGGCCTCCGGCTCCTCCGTGGGAACGAAGCTGGGGAGAGATGCTACACGGGGGTTGGCCTGGAGCAGGTGAAGGGGAGGAGGCCCTTCCAAGGAGGTTCATCCAAGAGGAAAGGCAGCAGCTGCCAGTTTCCACTCTGGTGGCAGAGCTGGTGCTTTGTGAAAAGCGTGGGCTGGGACCTCGAGGAACCCACACGCTGGCAGGGCTTCCAGGGATCTGACAAACCCACTGGAACTGGTTTCTGGCAAGGTTCTTTCTGGGAAGTGCCATGAGGGCTGAGGGCATTCAGCCCGGCGGGCCAGGCCCTGCCAGGGAGACATGGCTGGGGGTGGGGAGCGCAGACGCTTTGCCTCCAGCAGGAGAACAGCTGGGAAGGAACTCCCTTGGGCTTTCCTTGGGGCTCCTTGAGACTCATCCCCTCTGAGGGGGTCAGCGAGGGGGAGGCTTGCTCCTGGAGCTTGTGCAAGGATGGATGCAAGCTGTGCAGCTATGCTGGGCACATGGGGTCAGTCCCAGGCCTGGCGGTGCTGGGGGTGGGGCAGGACAGTCTCATCTTCACAGCGCCCCTCAAAGGGGGATGATCACTTCCATTTTATAGATGGAGAAACTGAGGTTCTGCAAAGGGCGGGGGTCACTCCACTCCTCGGTGGTTTAGACGGGAACCCAGGCCAGTGCTGGTGCAGATCAGAATCATGGTGGCCTTGAACATCAGCTGCCTGCCTGTGTCCCACCCGAGCCCAAACCTCATGCCAGGCAGATCAGCACTTGGAGGGCTTCTGGGCAACTCTCAGCAGGTTTGTGGCAACCCAGCTGGAGTCCCTGGTGTGTGGGATGCTGTGACTGAGGGGGCGTCTCATTAATCCTTTCAGCATTTCCCAGAGCAGCCTGGAAGGACATGTGGGGGGTCACTGAGGGTGCAATGCCAGGCTAGCCCCTCCCGTTTTGGGGGCCTTCTGCTCCCAGGGGCACTTCCCCTGTATCTCCTCAGCCTGCTCATTTGAGGTCCCAGCAGATGCCTCTGGGCTTGGCAGGCATGGCTCCCCATGTCTGCCTTCTGCTGCTTCCTGTGTGCACTTGAGCATGTTAAACCGCGTCCCCAGTTGGTTCATCTGAAAAGCCAGAATGGTAATGCCGCAGACAGTGATAGTAGTAAACCAGTTGCTATCAAGTTGACCCCGACTCATGGTGACCCGACGTGTGTTGGTAGACTGTGCTCCACAGGGTTTTCAATGGCTGATTTTTTGGAAGTAGATCTCTGGACCTTTCTTTTGAGGCACCTCTGGGTGGACTTGAACCCAACTTTTCAGTTAGCGGCCTAGTGCGTTAAACATTTGCATCCAGAGACTCCTGGTAGTAGTAATCACCCCCCATTATCGAGTCGTGTGAGGATTAAATGCATTTTTAAAGTGCTTAGAACAAGAGCACTTGGCACTTCGATGCTGTGTTAGCTATTTTAACACACTCCTTTCACACACACACACACTCATCACACACACGTCCTCCCTAAAGTAGATGATATCCATCTGGAACACCCCATGCGGGCATTTTCTTCACCCTCCAGCTTCCGTTTGCTTTGTCTTTGGGCAAGCAGAGCAGGGGAAACATTGGCTGGGCCCAGCTCTGTGCCAGGCACTGTATTGGGGACTGGTGTATCTAATTTCAAAGCAGCCATTGTGTGTGGTCGTTGGTAGACTCCCAGGGCCCTGCCACTGCTCAGGGCAGGGGTGGATTGAACCCCTCACCGTGCTGGCTCACCATCCACACCTCTGGGCTACATCTGTCTGGGACCACACAACTGCCTGGACAGGATGGAGCGTTGGCCCCGGAAGCCCCCATGGGGAGGCCTTTGCATCCTGAATATTAAAGATGTCGGACACTCCAAAGACCTCCTAGAGCTGGGGGACGTCTTCTTCCCTTGGAAGTGTGTTGGTGCTCTCCCTGCGAGACAAGATCTATAGATCGCATCTCTTTCCCTTTTTGTCTGGACTACCAGGAGCCTCTTAGCCCAGATGTAGACTTAGTTGACGTACGTTTTCGCAGTCACGTTCTTCTGCCCTCTTCCTCCTCTCTCCCCCACCCCTCTCTGTCATTTGCTGTCTTGTCCTGTGTTAGTATCTTAGCTGTTTTCCTTCCTGATTTTGTTTTTTTGGCTGTAAATGTTGTTTGTATGTACCATACAGGAAATTTTCCCAAGGTGAACACAGCTGGGTAACCTGTGCTGAGGTCCGGGCCTAGGCCTTTACCAGCACCCCAGAGCCCCACAGGCCCCTGCAGTCACTGCTCGCACAAGGTGGCCGTGTGCTGACCTCTAACAGCACAGATGGGTTTGGTCGGTTTGTGTACGTGACTACGTGGGGTCCTGCAGCGTGTGCTCCTGCAGCGTGTGCTCATGATTACGTTTTCTGTATTAGTATGCTAAAGGGCCCAGGGAGCCGTGCTTTGTCCATTCTGGTGTGGTATGTATTCTGCTGGTGTAGCACAGTTATCTGTCCACTGCATGGCTGGTGGGCAAGGAGCTGTTGGCAAGGAGCGCTGCTGTGAACATTCTAGTGTGTGTCTTTTGGTGAAAACAGTCCTGAGCGTTTCAGTGTGAGCCACTCCTGTTTGGAGACTGCTGGTGCATAAATACCAATCAGTACAATGCATAACAGACACTCTGTGAGGGCCACTTGCTCCTCGGGCTCGGACAGGTTCTGCAAAACAGGCTAGATTGCATGCTCACCACTCCCTCCCCCCCACCCTCTGCCCGGACTGCCCGAGGCCCAGCCTCCTGGCATGTGCCCTCACAGTTCCCTGTTGGCCCCCTAGCAGCACCCCAGCCCTCTCTTGTTCTGCGTGCCCTCTGCCTCTCATCTGGGCAGCAGAGGGTATGACCCCATCCTCTCTGTGCCCAGGGATCTTTGGGCAGCACCTGGAGGACACAGTCCACCATGAGCGGAAGTACGGCCCCCGCCAGGCACCGCTGCTGGTGGAGCAATGCGTGGACTTCCTCCGGGAGCACGGGCTCACTGAGGAAGGCCTCTTCCGCATGCCGGGCCAGGCCAACCTGGTGAGGGACCTGCAGGACTCCTTTGACTGCGGGGAGAAGCCGCTGTTTGACAGGTGAGCTCTGGCCTCAGCTTGGGGGGAGACAGATGGGGCCACCTGTCATCCCCTCCCTGCAGGGGCTCCTCCCCAGGGCACCAGCTCCAGTGGACAGACAGGGCCAGGCTAGTGCCCAGGAAGTCTGGCAACAGGAAGGTGGGCCGATGGCTCCCAGCACTGTCACAGCTGCCACGTGTCTCGTGCTCGGGAAGCCTGCAGACAGGCGGAGTGCAGAGCACCAAACCACTACCATGGACCTGGCCTTCTTCTCAGAGGCTGGCCACCTGCTCAGGATGGAGGCCGCTGTAAATGAGGCTCACCCATATCCATTGGGATTGCTTCCCCTGCAAATGCTTGAAAACCGACCCTGACAGAAGCGGAGAAGGGCTTCTCTTGGCTGGCACCGTAGAGTTGTTCAGCGTGCAATCCAGGACTCAGGGCATTCTCCAGGGTCAGTCTGGGCTCAGCTTCCTCTGGGTTGACTCATTCCCAGGCTCAGCTCAGTGGTAACATGGTGGCCACAGCTCCTACCCACATCCTCTTGGGTTTCAGGGTAGGGGTGGAGCCCTGGAATTGAGTGTCCTCCACTTGCCCCGGGCCGTATGACCATCCTGAACCATCCCTGTGGCTCATCCAGGCTCTGTGCTCCACCCCCTGGGGGGAGGCAGCTTCACTTAGGGGCTAAGATTAGGGGAGGTGTGACTCGCCATAGGGTGGTGGGGTGCTCTCTTCTCCCTAAGAGGACTCCACCCATTATGGGACCCTTTTTTATAGAAAGTTCTTCCTGTGTCATGCCAACCCCAGCTCCCTGGAGCTTCTGCCCTTTCTTCTTGGATCTGCCCTGACAGATGAGGCCCCCACTGCCCCAGGATGGGCCATTGGTACCCTCAGGCAGCCCTGGCCTTCCCAGGGCTTCTCCTTTCAGGCAGAACACCCTCAGTTCCGCCACCTTCTCCTAGACCCATCTCTGCAGCCAGGAGAGTTTGTCAGTTCCACCCCACGTGAGGTCTGCCCAGGGAAGGAACACAAACCCAAAAACCAAACCCATTCCTGTCAAGTCGATTCCGTCTCATAGCGACCTTATAGGACAGAGTAGAACTGCTCCGTAGGGTTTCCAAGGAGCGGCTGGGGGATTCGAACTGCTGACCTTTTTGGTTAGCAGCCACATGCTTAACCAAGGCTACACAGGGTCCGTTCTTCTGGAGCCTCATGAAACCCCTGCACAATGCTGACTCTCTGTGAGCTTGTGGTCCATTTTGAACCTCTGCCAGCCGGGGCTCTTCATCCTGTGCCTGTACGGCCCTGGGCTAGGGTTTCGAGATGGCTTCAAACAATGCTGCCTCCTGTGCTTGCTTGTCTCTCTGGTTCCTGGGAACCAACAGTACCTCCTTGACATTGGGGCTCTTCAGGGATAGGATTGGGGCCCAGCCCTTCCTCCTGGCCCTAGTTGCCATGGGCCCCCTCCCCGACTGCTCTGGAGGAAAATGACCGCCGGGGAAGGCTCTGAGGAGCTCGGCTTGGGACCTGTTTGGTGTGGTGTGCCGGGGGCAGTCTGAGGAAGGCGACCAATAGCCAGAGGGACACTTGGGTCCAGGACCCTGAGAGGAGTCTGGGGCAGATGCAGGTTTGGGAATCCTGCTTCAGTGTGGCAGCCGTGGGCACCCAGGAGAGCATGAGGACAGGACAGAGGAGGGGGGCAATGGAAGCAGAGAGGGAGGAGGGCAGCAGGCATGGCGAGCATCGAGGGAAGGCTGGCCCAGGCTGCCCAAGGTCAGTGAGTCCGGTCTGCAGGCACAGTCGGTGGCCAGGGATCTCTGCCTGAACAGTCGGTGGGCTGCGGTCAGAGGCTGGACTGTGCAGAAGGAGGACTTGGAGGGGCCTCGTGGAGACGGGAGGTGGACGATTCTGTCGAGCAGCTTGATTGTGAAGGAGAGAAAAGAGGTAGCGAGGGGCTGCAGGACTAACCCCTCAGTTTTAAAGGGCTGCCCCGCTCAGGGTGAAAGTCCTCTGAGAGAGGTGGGGGTTGGGGGGTGGCATCCCCTTCCAGTTTCCGGAACACGCCAGTCAAGGTGCTGAGCGTCTGGGGGTCAGAAGGAGACCAGGGGGCGGCCGAGAGCAGCTGGGCCTGGAAGAACTGGAAGGGGCCGCCTGAGCTGTGTGACGGTGGGGTACATGCCGCAGCAGGGACTCCTAGGGACAGCTGGTAGCTGGGGAGCAGCACTGGGGCCAGCGCAGGGAACCGGTGCATGGGAAGTTGCTCAGCGGCTGAGAGGTATGCTGAGGTGTCTCTCACTCACTCTGAAGTGCACGTGGGCAGCCCTTTGTCTCTTTCGGAGCCTGGGTTTCTGCATCTGTGAAGGGACTAAGGCAACGGGTGGCGAGTGCCAGTGAGCAGTCAGCGCCCGCCAGCCCGCCTGCCCTAGGCAGCTCCTCCCTTTGTCCCACTGCCTCCTGCACTCCGTCTCCACGTCCCGGGCCCTGATGAAGGCCTAGCCCTGAAGGGGCATGGGTCAAAGGTCAGCTGCCCTGTCCAGTCCCACACGTCTGCCTTGGCCGGGGCTTAGAAGAGCAGCATCGTGGAACTCCTCAGCTCTGTGGCCTTGCCCGCCCAGCTGCTCTCAGCCACCCCCTGGTCTCCTTCTGACCTCTGGACGCTCAACACTTTGACTGGCGTGTTCCGGAAACTGGAAGGGGATGCCACCCCCCAACCCCCACCTCTCTCAGAGGACTTTCACCCTGAGCGGGGCAGCCCTTTAAAACTGGGGGGTTAGTCCTGCAGCCCCTCCCTACCTCAGGTCCTAGCCTGACCCCACAGGCCCAGCACCCCCCTGCCCATGATGCCCAGACATTGCCGGGGGCAGCAGTTTATTGCCCCACAGACAGGCCTGGCCCCTGGGCAGTGATAAGCAAGTCATACGTGCAGCCTCATCTCTGTCCATACTTTATGGCGAGGCCACGCTGCCCGTCACTGGTCCAGGTTCAGACAGACAAGCTCCAGAGCAGTGGTCCGGAGGCCGCGCGGCCACCAGCAAGCCCGTGACCGAGTTCTCTATGCCTCATTTTCTTCATCTGTAAAGTGAGCCCAAACATGCCAGCCTCCTGGGGTTGTCGTGAAGATCAGTGATGTGACCCTGTGCACTAGTGGGTGTTCTCTCCTTGCCCTTCTGGGGGGATAGTTGCGCGTGGGGAGGGGCCCAGACAGCATCCACTGTGATGGGAGAGGGAGACTAAGCCCCAGCAGCCATCGTGCCCCAGGCCGTGCCAAGTCATCTAGTTTAGCCCCTCGCCCACCTGAAGGCTGCTGTTGAGAGGCGCTGGAGGTGGCTCCCGAGAGCCTGCGGAGTAGATACGTCTGAGCCGCCATCTCGCCGAGGGGCGGGAGAGAGACTGGGAAGGGGGAGCCACCTCAGTGGGGGATCCCAGAGGCATCTCAGAGGAGGGGCCTCTGCCCTGCGTTTGGAGCGTGGGTCCCATCTGTGAAGAAAAGAAGGAAGCAGCAGGACCCTGTGTGAAGGTGACACGTGTTCCCGGCAGGAGGCTCGGTGGGTTTGGATGGAGGGAGGAAGCGTCGTGTCCAGAGCTTCAGGCAGGCCTTAGCATCCAGCCCAGAGGTGTGGAGATGAACCATCACACCCAACCCGGGCACCTGCTGAAACTTCCCCACCCTCCCCTGCCCTGCCCGCCTGGAATTTGTGTCTCAGACGGTGCCCAGGTGGTCCTGACAGCAAAGTCGGAGAAACAGCAACCCTCAGGGATTCACAGTTCACTGGGTAGAAGAGGCAAAAAGGAATTGTGATGTAGTGTGTGAGTTCACACACAGGGTATTAAATGGGCTCTGTGGGCATTGATGGTGAGAGTGGCCCCCTCTCCAGGGGCTGTTCAACAGGCAGACTAGGACCAGGAGGGGAAAGGACCCTGGGTGTGGCCATTCAGACTGCAGCTGGGGCTAGTGGACTGGCCTGGGAGCGGGCTTGGTCCTGATGCCCTGGGAGGAGCAGCCGATCCTGATCCTGCTGCCCCTCAGCCTCAGCTGGGTGCCTCTAGAAGGACAGTTCTGACGTCCTGCTCCTCGCCTGGACGTCAGGAGCAGGAATCTGTATGTTTGAAAAGCTCCCCTGTGATTCTGCTTAGCAGCCAGGTTTGGGAGTCAGTGGCCAAGGGGGAGCATCCCAGGGGTGGGGGAAGGAGGCCCGGGGTGAGTGGGGGCAGGTGCAGGCATGGGGTGCCGTCCGGAGCCCCTCTGCCTTCCCTGAGCCCCCTCCTCCCTGGATGACTAACCGAGAAGCAGAGGCCAGCTTCTTGCCTCCTGCTCCCTGTTGCTGCCCTCAGTGTGTTCACAGACATTTCGTAAGTGAGGCTGAGACACCCCATGTCCCTTACCCAAGGCAGCACACAGGTGTGCCCTGCCCAGCCTCTGCCCCCAGACTCAGTCCGATTTCCCCGAGGTCTGTGTCCCTGCCCGGACCTCTCCAGTGCTCCCCTGGAAACTCCCCCACTCCCTGAACATTCTCCCCTGGCTGCCTGCCGCCTCGGAGGACGTTCCTTTGCTGCTGCCTCACCCATGCAGCAGCTGCTGCCAGGACCACTGAGGCCTCAGTGCACGAGGGCCCCTGCGCTCGAGTCTGGGCACCTGCTGTACCTGTAAGCGCCCAGGAAGGGGGATGTCCAGCAGAGATGGCCAGGAGGAGGCAGTGGTGGCATGGGCCTGTGGAGAAGGCATGACAGCGGGGGCAGGGAGAGGTGGGGCAGCCTGGCTGGGGCTCTGGTGTGTGGGCTTAGGGTGCATGTGGCACATGGAACCCCAGAATCCCAAATGCCAAGACTGGAAGTGACCCCAGGGCTGACCACAGCGAGACCAGCACAGGACTCGGCCAGGGCCAGGAGGCGTGTTAATGCCACGACCACTCTCCCACACACCTGCCGTGAGGGAAATGCAGGCCCGAAGCTCAAATCTGGGGCCCAGGCCCAGCCGGATGCAGGTTTGTCGAAGGTGTCTCACCTGTAGTCCAGGCCCTGAGATGAGAGGCTGCCTCCAGAGCCACGGCCTTCCCTGTGGGCCCACTTCAGCCTGCGAAGCTCAGAGCAGAGCAGGAGCCAGTGAGGCCTGAGCCTGGGAGTGGGTGCCCAGGGCCCTGGGGCACTAGAGGTGGGGTGATGAGCACAGAAGCCCAGTCCCTGTAGTGAGAACAGGGACCCAGAGGTGCGGGGGGAGAGGCCCTGACCTCTGACCCTGCCCCAGCCTGGGCAGCTGGACTCTGGAGATCTCACTCTCCGTAGAGGTGCCCTCCAGAGCCGTGCATGGTGTGAGGGCCAGGCCATAGAGGGTGGGCCCGGGAAGGGGAGGAAGCACGGGATGTGGCTCAGGGCAGCCTTGGAGGAGCCTAGAACAAGTCCCGTGCCTCAGCAAGCCCCGGTGCTAGTTCCGACAGACAGCTGCACCTGGGTTCCCGCTCTCATCCCAGGGAGTGGGGCGGCACCCCAGTCAACCTGCAGAGGACCCTAGGGGTGGCTGCCAGGCCCCAGGGGAGAGGTACTTCCCCTCCACCTTGCTCTCTAGCCGCTCTCATGGAACCCCTCCTCTGTGCAAGCACGGTCTTCTAGCCCTCTGTGGCCACTGGGGGTAGAGTGCGGCGCCCTGTGGGGCTCTGCGGTTTTGGCAGCAGTGATGTGGACATGAGTCCCACACTGGCTGTGAGGGAGCCCTGGCCTCCCTGGCTGACACTGAGACGGGACTTGGGGTTCCCGAGCGAGCGCCTTTGACACGATGGGTTTTCCTGGGCTGGGATGGCCGCGGGGCCTCGGTCCCCCACCCCACTGAGCCCTGTCTGCTTGCCCTGGAAGCAGGGCTGGGCCTTTCCTGCCCTGCCTGTAGGTCCCCCAACCCCGCACACACACGGGGGAGGGCAGAGGCTGCCCCTGGGGGAGGCTGGTCACCCTGAAGGCCCCTGACGTGCCAGGCCTCGGGTGTGTCCCCCACCAACAGCACGACCGACGTGCACACAGTGGCCTCCCTGCTGAAGCTCTACCTGCGGGAGCTGCCCGAGCCAGTGGTCCCCTTCGCCAGGTATGAGGACTTCCTCAGCTGCGCCCAGCTGCTCACCAAGGACGAGGGGGAGGTTAGTGGCTCTTGGGGACCCATCTGGGAAGCAGGCTGGCCAGGCGGCACGGGGAGGGGGCCCAGCTTCCGGGGCCTGGGCACGAGTGCTTCCAATGCCAACACAGCCCCGCCTGGAGGGGTCACCCCTGCCCACACGCCGACACAGCCCCTCCCAGAGAGGGGTCACCCCTGCCCACACGCCGACACAGCCCCTCCCAGAGAGGGGTCACCCCTGCCCGCACGCCGACACAACCCCACCTGGAGGGGTCACCCCTGCCCACACGCCGACACAGCCCCTCCCAGAGAGGGGTCACCCCTGCCCACACGCCGACACAGCCCCTCCTAGAGAGGGGTCACCCCTGCCCGCACGCCGACACAGCCCCGCCTGGAGGGGTCACCCCTGCCCACACGCCGACACAGCCCCTCCCAGAGAGGGGTCACCCCTGCCCGCACGCCAAGCCTGTAAGGACCTGCCTTCACCTGGGCTTTCAAGCTCCCAGGGCCTGGGCACAGCCTCCATGGGGGCCCTCCCTCTGCCTGCCCTGCTCCCTGGGAGGGGACAGTTATTTCCAGAAGCAGGCCACAATCCTGCCAGTCCCGGGTGTCCAACTCTGGGCTATCACATAGGTGCACGCACCCCACTGCCTCCCCCACGCCCTGGCCACCAAGCCATCTTTTTTTCATTTATATGCTGCTTCCTTCCTGGAGGCACTGGGGACCACTCCTGGGCAGAGGCCCCAGACCCCCGCCCGAGGCTCTGCTGCAGCCCTGGGCCAGCAGCCGGGGGAGGTGAGAAGTGCTATTTGGCAAGTAGCTGAGCCATGACCCTGATGTTCCTCTGTGGCTCTGCAGAGGCACTCCCTCACCCCCGCCCAGTTGATTCCAACTCATAGACCTTACAGGACAGAGTAGAACTGCCCCCGTAGGGATTCCAAGGAGCGCCTGGTGGATTCCAACTGCCAACCTTTTGGTTAGCAGCCGAGCTCTAACCACTTTGCCACAGGGCTCCTCCCCCGATACCCCCGACTCGGTCCTGTGAGAGGCCTGGCCTCAGGCTGGCCTTACGGAGCTCTGTGTTTCTCTTTCACTCTCTAGGGGACTCTGGAGCTGGCCAAACAGGTGAATGACCTTCCTCCCGCGAACTATAACTTGCTCAGATACATCTGCAAGTAAGTGGTCTTCAGGGGAGGGAGGGTGGGCGCGTACCCTCCTGGCGCTCTGGCCCCACACCCCCCACTCGCCTGCCCCACGCTGATCCACCGTGCTGACGGAGCTGACCAGCCATGGGGGACCAGATAGTTCTAAACAGTCCTGCGTGGGTAACTCCTAAAGGGAAGGGCTTCTCGCTGCCCCCCGACCCCCACCCCCAGGCTCTGGGCTCAGTTCACTAGACTGGGCTTTGGAGGGGCCTGGTGAAGCAGCCCACCCCCAGCCATGCGGCCTCTGCAGGTGGAAAACTACTGTGCCTTGACTCCTTCTCAGAACTCCCCCACACCCGACAACGGACCTGCCCCCCGGCCTCTGCCTCTGACGGCCGGCCATCATGGACCCCTCTTCAGGCCTGGCAGGGAGCTGGCAGTGCCCAGCCAGCCATGTGTGGGTGTGACTGGCGTGCAGGCCAGGCAGCCCCCAGCATCCCCAGCATCGGGATCTGCCTCCTCAGACAGTAGCCCGTCCTCCTCTGCAGATTTTTGGACGAGGTCCAGTCTCACTCTGACGTCAACAAGATGAGCGTCCAGAACCTGGCAACTGTGTTCGGACCCAACATCCTTCGGCCCCAGGTGGAAGACCCGGTGACCCTCATGGAAGGTAATGTGGGAGGGTCAGTGTGTGCGCTGCTCCCGGGCACAGGGGTCAGGCCAGCAAGGGAGGCTCAGGCAGCACACACCTCCATCTCTGCGACTCCATGGAGCTCTTAGACTTAGCCCCCAACCCTCCTCCCGTGGGGTCCAGCTGTCAAAGGAAGAGGCAGTCTGACCTGAGGTGGTAACAGGGGGCCGTTAGGTGGCAGAACAGCCCCAGTAAGCGAGGTTAGGAGAGGTCCGTGGTCAGGGCCTTGTGCACAGACACTGTCACTTTACTTTTGAAATTAAGTAGTTGTCACGGGCTCCTGGGTGTCAGAGCTTCCCAGACGTTGAGGAGATTTGTTCTATAACAAATAACCGAACATGGTAAAATAACAAAAATGGAGGCGCAGCAGCAGCTCTGTCTGCAGGACTCTGCTAAGTGCTTCTTTCTGTCACCTCGCCTTAAGCTCCACAGCGATGCTGTGGTTCTGCCCCTGGTTAGCAGATGAGGAAACTGAGGCCAGGAGAGGTGAGCTGCCTCAGCAGAGACTGGTCACCCAGACTTACCAGGGTGCAGGTGCCGGCTGGCGCGTGGCCAGTCAAGCACAGGTCAGAGGCCCTGCCAAAGACTGTCGTGGGACCACAGCCCAGCGGACGGGGAGTCTGAGTCCCCACTGAGGGCTCATGTGGTCACCAACACTGCCCAGTGCTGGGCGAGTGGAGGGCAGAGCCTCTTGTCCTGCTGTGCACGACGGTGGAGGTGGTGAGGGTGGGTGAGGTGCAGCCTTTGGGGGCGCTCTCACTGGGAGGCCAGGCAAACCTGGCTCAGCCTGGCTGGCTGGGTGGACGCCCTGAGGGCAAGGGCTGGCTTTCTCCTTCTCCCAGCTCCTGCTTCACCTCATTTCTCAGCCTAAGAATTCCTTCCTTTACTTTTTCCAGGATTCCTGGTTACCTTCAGTGGGAGGGTGTCCCCAGGTACTCAACCTTGTTTATGCCTGACAACCTGCCCAGTCTCTGGCCCCTTGTTTGGTTGTGGGCACCATGAAGAGTGAGCCAGATTAACAGCTTGATCCTTCCCCAGTGCCCACTTCCATCACTGACCCCCCACAATCCACATGAGCTGAGTCCCCAGGACTGGGGGGGCCTTGGAGGCCTTGTGATTGTGTATGTGATTGTGTCACTGTGTGTGTGGGATTGTGTGTTGTATGTAGAATTGTCTCTGTGAGATTGTGATTGTGGGATTGTGTGTGTGTGTAGGGTTGTGTAGGTGTGTTAGTGTACGTGTGTGCAGGACTGCGTGTGTGTGTGTGCACGTGAGAATTGTGGGGGGATTTACGTATGCATGTGTGAGCGTGTGTGTGCACGTGCAGGATTGTGTGAGATTGTGGGGGATTGTGTGTGTGTGTGTGTGTGTGTGTGTGTGTGTATGCATGTGCCCTCACAGCACCTCCGAGGCAGGCCCAGCCTCCGTCCTATGCCAGTGCCCAGCACAGCATGGAGAATGGGGCACAGCCATGGTTCCTGCACCCATGCTGAGCTGTAACCCTGAGGCTGGGCCTGTCCTGGTATAGCAGGGCAGTGACGCGGGGCAGCCAAGAGGCTCCAGGGCCTGGCTTCCAGCCCCTCCCTGCCAGCACCCACCCAGAAACCTTAATGGGCACTGTGGGGATGGAGTGGAGGTGGGGCCCCTGTGAGGCAGCGGAGGCCGTGGTCCTTGGTGCTAGCAGGCTCTACATCCAGGGCAGGGCTCCGGGCCCGCTCCTCTGTCTACCGCCTGCTGTGGGAGCCCGTGGTGGGCAGGCTGCAGCACCCAGGCTTCTTTGGGGGCCAGGCAGAAGCCCTCGCTAGTTCCTTGCTGAGAGGCAGTCTGCTGGCCGCAGGGGTCCAGCATTCCTGGGTGTCAGGCAGCTCCTCCAGCTTGGCTGGCAGCCCTGGACTGTGAGATAGTCTTGCTCTCTCTCCCTGGCAGGCACTTCCCTGGTCCAGCACCTGATGACCGTCCTGATCCGAAGGCACAGTCAGCTCTTCACAGCGACAGCCACGGTGGGGCTGGCCTCCCCACAGGGGGGCCCCCAGCGCACAGTGGGCTGGGGCTCTGAGGAGGTCACGAGGGATAGCCCGGGGGATCCCGGCAGCCCCAGTGCCCCTGGCCTGCCCTCGCAGAGAACCTCATCTCTGGATGGGGCCACTGTGGCGGCTCTTGCAAGGGCCTCCCCCTCAGGCCCGGCTGCCACCAGTTTTGGGAAGAGAGTGCAGACTCTGCCAAACTGGAGGTGTTCCTTCCGGCAGTCGGGGCCCCGGCCAGCCAGCCCAAAGGGAAGTGGCTCGGCCCTGGAGATGCCTGCTGTCTCCTGCAGTGGGAACTGGCTCACGAACGGCCTGTCCTCCCTGCGCAGCCACCGCCGGGCCTCCTTGGGGGACCGGCTCCGGGACTCTGGCTCCTCCCAGAGGCTGTCCACCTACGACAACGTGCCACCGCCTGGCCTCCTGCCCAGCTCCCCCAGCACGGCCAGCGCAGCTTGGTCCGGGGTGTCCTCATGCGAGGCCTCAGCCAGGGGCTCAGTTAGCAGCTGCACGGCTTGCCGGGCCAGTGACTCATCTGCCCGCAGCTCCCTGCACACCGAGTGGGCCCTGGAACCCTCCCCGCTTCCCAGCAGCAGTGAGGAGCAGAGATCCTCGGAGCTAGGCCACAGCCTGGACGAGGCAGGCGCGGGACTCAGCAGAAGCGGCCCCAGCAGCCCCAGCCAGGACCTCACCTGCCGCCCCGAGTCCCTCCAGGGCCTGATCACAGAGCTCAGAGCAGAGCTGTGCCGGCAAAGGACTGAATATGAGACAAGCATGAGAAGGTAAAGAGCTGTGGTGCCGGGGCATGCGAGGTAGCCCCTCCCCATGGGTGGACTGTGGCCTGCAGGCGTGAGCAGCCTCCAGGAGCAAGTGTGGTTACCAGGCTCCAGCCATGACAAGCAGCCTCTGGCCCCAGGGCTCCCCAGGATCCAAATTCTCTCTTGCTCTGAAATAAGTTTCTTGGAGGCTGGGCTCAGGCTGGGAGCAGCTGACCCAGGAGCCAGCACCTTCTGGGGAAAACACCCTGGGACAGCTTGGAGGTGTCCTGGCAGGGGCCTCAAACAGCTGCAGACCTGGCCCACTGTGGACTCTGCTGAGTGAAGGGGCAGTCTGACCACCTAAGCTGGTCAGAGCACCTGGGATGGGGGCTCGGAGCGGGATTGGGGTTCAGAGCAGAGTCATTCTGCAGTCCTTGGTGGGGAAGGGGGCTGTGGCTCCGAGGGGAGGATGAGGGGTGCCCCTTGCCCAGTCAGTGGGCATTCCATCCATGTGTTCACATGGGTCAGCGCTGGCCCAGTCTGAGGTAGGTGGAGAGGCAGGCTCCTTGCCGTCATCCCAGGACACCTGCCTCTGCTAACTCCTTCATTCCCAGAAGTTGTTGAGGGTCTGCCATGGGCCAGGCATCATTGGAGGTGCTGGGGACACAGCCAGGGCCAAAATGGATCAAAGTCTCTGCCCCATTCTTATTTAGAGTGGTGGGGAGGGGGCACGGAGACCATAAACAAGATTGTTGTTAGCTGCCAGCTGTCAGCCCGAGTCCTGACAACCACGTGCTGAACTGCTCCACAGGGTTTTCTCAGCTGTGCTCTTTATGGAGGTAGATCGCCAGGTCTTTCTCTTGTGGAGCTGCTGGGTGGGTTCCAACTGCCAACCTTTTGGTTAGCAGCCGAGCACCAACTGCTTGTGCCACCCAGGCTCCTTGAATGCAGTTGAGGGAGATATAAACTGAGGCATCGTTAGCCTGGAAATCTGGAGATGGGACGAGGCCAGTAGGTGTAGAGGGAAAGGGACGAGGTCTAAGCCCCAGGCTCTGGAGCGAGCCTCCAGCATATAAAGGTCATGGGGCAGGAGGGTGGGGTCAGGGATGGGAGGCACAGTTGGGGATGCTGGAGGCCAAGCTGCCCCAACCTGCCTTGGCGGGGGTCTTCTTTTTGATGCGGGCTCTGGCTGAAGGGAAGGTGATGTCCTCCTCTCTTCCATGCTTCCTGTTCACGAATGGAGGACGCTGGCCTTGGCCGCATCCTGGATGGGGCAGGGCATTCTATTTGCTGACACACACTGTACGCTAGGCATTGTGCTGTACTTACCGCTTCCCTCGGGGCTTCCATGAGATTGTCGTGGGAAGAAAACCACAGCTGTGGGCGAGGTGGTCACGTGCATGGGCCAGGACCCTGTGCAGCAAGAGCGGAGAGGAGGGATGTGAGGCTGGAGGGTAGGGGGACCGAGCTGTGTTCAGGGGCCAGACAGGCAGCACAGCGATGGTCCAGGACTCGGGGTAGGCAGGTCTCACCACAGGCCGAGGAGCCACGGCTCAGTGGGGACGACACTTTGGCTGGCAGGGGCAGAGGACATGAGCTGGCGGTGGTTCTGCAATTGGCTGTGAGAGGCCTCTGGTGCTGTGAGCTTTGGTCGTTCATGGGGTGGTGGTTTTGTGGGAAGGTGGAGAGCTTGGCTGTTGGAGGAGACCCATCCACAAGTAGGAGGCACAGCCATGGGAGCAGAACGCTGCTGCAGGCAGAGGGAGCCCCAAGGCAGTGGAGGCCATCTGTCCTCAAGCAGGGTTAGGAGAAGATGTCCCCCAAGGGTCCATCAGAAATGGGAAAGAGCTTGGTGCCTTGGAGCCAAGGAACTACAGAGATAAAGGTCAGGTGACAGATCGATGCCGTCTCTCAGGACCTTTGGGAAAAAAGTGTCCTTGGAGAGGTAGGTGGAGGCCAGCGTGAGGAGAAGGGGGTGGATGTGTAGACTGCCCTTGTAGACATGCCGCAGCAGAGAGGAGAGAACGAACAGGAGCTCCAAGGCATGGAGAGGCCTGTCTGCCAGCAAGAGGGAAGGAGTTGGCGCTAGGGTACAGGTTGAGGGTGTTCAGAAAGAGGATGCTTGATAACCACAATGTGTCTAGCCCTGGACTAGGGACTGCTGGCTCGTCCGTGGTGATTGAGGGGGAAAGGGATTGGTGTGGGCCAGGGACTCAGGTGTGGCTGTAGGGTAGATAAGTGGGATGAGGCTAGGGTAAGAGTAGGAAGAGCTTTATAACCCAGGTTGCAGACAAGGGTGAGAAGGTCCAGGGGCAGCAGTTGAAAAATTAGAGATTGTGCCAACAGGAAGATGGCATGGTGTCAGGGCCATGGGCCACTTCTCTGGTCCAGGGCAGGTCCCTGGACTTCCCTGGAACAGGTCCTCAGGATAGTGGAGAGGGTGAGAGCCTGGTACACAGCTGTGCCCACATCTCACAGGTAACAGTGCTGCCCTTCTAGGGGTCAGGCAGCTCCCCATGGTAGGAATCAGAGGGACAGCGATGGCTGGGGGCTGTGGAGTGGTGGGCACTGCCATGTCAGCTCAGATGCCAGTCATCCAGAATGAGGCAGAGGAAGGGTGGGAGAAGTGGGGTCCTGAGCCAGAGCCCCGAGGAGTAGGGGAGAGTGCTGGGTGCAGCAGAGCTGAGAGACCTGGACAGAAAGGAGAAGTCGCTGGAGCAAGTGGGGGCTGAACCGAGGCCTGGAGGCAGCTAAAAACCAAAACCAAACCCATTGCCGTCGAGTCGATTCCGACTCATAGCAACCCTATGGGACAGAGTAGAACTGCTCCATAGAGTTTCCAAGGAGCGCCTGGTGGATTTGAACTGCTGACCTTTTGGTTAGCAGCCACAGCACTTAACCACTATGCCAATAAGGGCAGGTCATTTTCCCCTGCTTCTTGAGACAGAAAAGATGAAGCAAGAACTGGACACCACTCGAGGCCTTGCTGGCAACTGAATCAAGCCAGCCAGCCATTCCACAGGAACCCGTGGACACCGGCCATTGTTAGCACAGGGGCCTGCCTAGAGGGCTAGAGACACCATCAGGCTCCATCCCTGCCCTCCTTACAGGAGTCTGTAGTCTGGTGGAAGGACGTGTGAACTTTTGCACATTGTGATGTGAACCTCCACAGAAGGTGGTGTGGGCCCTGCGGGGCGTGAAGGAGGTCTTGATGGGAGCTGCTGGGGAGGCTCCAGAGCAGCTTTCCCAAGGGCACGAGGGGGACTGGGAGAAGTGTCAGGCTGAAGTTGGCTTCCCTGGAGTCACTGACTGGCTGGAGCCTGGGATGGGTGTGGGGGGCAGCAGGAGGGTCTGGATCCCACAGGGCCTCACAGAAAAGGAAAGCGAGGAACTGTTTTAGACCTCTCCTGCCCTCCCCTCACCGCCCTCCCAGAGGCATCTGTCCTGCTCTGGCCTCCTGACATCAGTCCCGAATGGGGCAGGTGATTGGGGCTGAAGGCTGTCGAGTGTTTCCGGATTACAAGCCAAGGGGAGGTGTTGGGGGGAAGGCCTCTGTAGGCACCTCACCAGAGCCTGGCTTTCACCAGCTCATCTGCCTGCATGCCTCGGCCGCCTCCCACACTTGACAACCCAGCAGGCCAGAGCCTAAGACCTGTCTTTCTTCTTGATTTTTAAGAATTGAAGAAGGTAGTGCTGACCTGAGGAAGCGCATGTCACAATTAGAAGAAGAACTGGACCAGGAGAGGAAAAAGTACATGATGCTGGAAATAAAGCTGAGGAACTCGGAGCGGGCACGGGAGGACGCCGAGAAGAGAAACCAGCTCCTGCAGAAGGAGATGGAGGAGTTCTTTTCAACCCTGGGGAGCTTGACTGTTGGGGACAAAGGTGCCCGAGCCCCACAGTAAGGGAAGGGGGAGTGCTTCTGCCCCCAGGCGGCTGGTCCCCCCTGCACAGTGCTGGTAGCTGGCCCACAGGAGGAGCCAGAGCTGCAGCTACCTGGGCCTCGGACGGGGCCACTGGGGTGCCGGGTGCCCAGGAGCCAGCCCGAGAGGTCCTGACGTCCCACTGGGGGTCCAGACTCTGCTCTGACCGTGCAGGGACCTTGGGTGTCAGCAGGGAGCAGTGCCGAGCATCTGCCTTCCCTCCCCCCTGCCACAGGCAAGTTCCCCGGGACCTGGGGCCACCATGAACCTTTTGCATTCTTTATTAAATCTGCTCTGTAAACATGATGCCCAGGTGCCTGGCTCCTTCTTTGTGGCCACTCAAAACGGGACTCACCAAGCGCCCTTGCCTGGTTCTCGAAGGGCCGGCACCTGGGGCTGCTCTCAGACAGACGGGCTGGGCGTTTAGAAGTGGGGCGAGAAGCTCGAGCCAGTGCTATCGCGGGCACGGAGGCCAGGCGCGTGCACATCGTGGGCTCTCAGCCAAGCACCCGTGTGCTGGGGCAGACACCTGTCCTCGCTCCCCCTCCTCTGGGCCTCTGCCCCTTTGTGTCCCTCTCACCTTCCACATCACCTGCCTTCCTGTGCTGTGCACACGCGTGCCAGGGCCAGAAGTGGAGCTCAGCAGGGACTGTGCACCCTGGGGGTGGTGCTGGGGTGGAGCTGAGGTGGAGAAGCCCACCCCTCGCACTGTCCAGCTTCCCTTCCCACTGCTAGTCTGTCTCCTCTGTCCATACCCATCTGCCACCAGTGTCCTAGCCTGGAAGCCCTCTGCTCCTCTCAGACTTCAGCACTGCACTAGGGAGAATCTCCCCAGACAGCCTTGCCCAGCCCCCGTGATCCAGCAGGCCTAGGCCAGAGCTGCGGCTGAGCCTCTGGGGTGACTAAGAAGTGGCTTTGGGCAGAGGACTGTGGCACAGGCGGCGCCAGCCTGAGCAGTAACCTGCGGTGGACTCGCGGCAGGGGGCAGGGGCACATAAGCACCCAGTTTTTAACCACAGTCTCTGGAGAAGTCCTTGAGGTCCAGCCCCACTGTCTACCTAGAATCAGATATAAATCCTCTCACCACCTGACTGATGCTCAGTGGGCTGATGCTTAGCGGCCAGAGTCTTGGTCCGGGGAAGCACTGGCTGTGTGGCATGAAGGACGAGGCCACAGGCCAGAGCCGGGCTGCTGAATCCTTGGCTGGTCGGCCCCTGACTATGCACTGTGCAGCAATGTCAGCAAACACACCCAGAAGAGTTAGATGGTAACTACAGACTATTTTCTTTCTTGATTTGGTGCTGTGGAAGGAAAGAGATTCCAGTGCCTAAAGCTTCATGGGGTTGGGGCGCAACTGTCATATCTACTTAGTTAGAACTCCTGAGACCCCTCCCTCATGAGAACTACTGGAGGACTGGGAGGGAGGGCAGCATCTCACCTCTACTGGGGGGCTGGGGGAAGGGGGGTCAGGTGGAGAGCGACATGGCCCCCACTCATGGCCCCTGCAGTCACCCGCCAGCAATTTGTGTGACCTGAGTTTTCCCCAGAGGTGAGATGCTGCCCTCCTTCTCTACTCAAGGAGAGAAAGAATTTCTCAAACAGGCCAGTATGATAGGGATTGGTCCCACTTCTCGGAGGAGACGCTGAGGCTCAAGAAGTTAGGTGGGCAGTACGTCTTAGGGTTCCACTGAGACCCTCCCTGCACTGCTGGATCTTGGAGAGAAGATGCCACTGGGCTATCAAGGGAGCAGAAAAGACCAAAGGGTTTCACAGGATGAAAGGGAGGTTAGTGGCTTGACAAGGAGGAGCCAAAACCAGCTCATGAGCCGTGTCTGCTACCTGCTGGGAGAAACAGGATCTGCAAAGGTCATTTTTACCTGACTGGAATTGCCAACATTCAGTAGAAGTTCTGTTCCACACTTTCCTTCACCGCACTCTCCATGTGGTCCCTGAAACATTCTGATGGCCCCCGCAGACTGAGCATTGGGCCGCCGAGCTCTGGCCAGCGACCCCCACCCCATCCACTTCTGCTGGCCCCAGGTGAGTTACACTTACCCTACCTGTTCCCAGGCCAGTTGATTCCAGCTGCACTACTACTGTGATGACATCAGTTAATGCTCAGGAGATCAATGAATTATGAATGTGGAAAGACATGGAATTAATTCTTTGAAAATCTACTAAGAATACCTTCTTGAATGCTTTAGTAATGGCAAGTTACTATTCGATAGTGGAAAATTGGTAAAAATCTATAAGAAATTTGCTTCAGATTACTTCATATGTGTTTTAAAATGTGTTTGACTTTAAGGAAAAAATTGAAAATTGTAAAAGATGAATTATGGTATGGTTTATACACTTCAGTTGGCAATCCTGTACCAAAAAAAAAAAAAAAGTTGCCTAACTTTAAAAGACTGACCAATGAATATACTTTTTTTTTTTTTAAGTTAGAATATACTTTCAAGAATGTGTGTGTGTGATGTTTTAAATGGCTGTTGAATGATGGACTAGCTACTGAACGAAGCATACTGCATACAGGCATTTGAACGCCATCTGTGTCCCCACGTGTCCACAGCCTGTGGATAACAAATGGAGCCAGTCACAATGACACGTGTTCACTGGGTCTTCCCCTCCTTTTGAAGCAGGGCCCCAGCCTCCTCCCTCCGAGTCCTCCGGTAGTTCTCATGAGGGAGGGGTCTCAGGAGTTCTAACTAAGTAGATATGACAGTTGCGCCCCAACCCCATGAAGCTTTAGGCACTGGAATCTCTTTCCTTCCACAACACCAGATCAAGAAAGAAAATAGTCTGTAGTTATTATCCAACTCTTCTGGGTATGTTTGCCTGAAGATATGGCTGCCATTCAAAGAGACAGGAAAGGGATACCTAATGTTAGATTTTAAAAACCAGGATTTCCAACATTCCCACAGCCAGAATGTCTACTGAGGCTGGTGGTGACAGTCACGACAATGGCAGCGACATTCCCGAGTGCTCACTAGGCCCTGCCTACACGTATGAACACACCTGTGAAGTTATGTTAAACTCCCCGCTTCACAGATAAGAAAACAGCCACAGAGCCCCTGGGCAACTTAGCAACCTGGGCACCTGGGGAGCTGGTGGAAGGCAGGATTCCACTCTGGTTCTGGCAACAGAGCCCCTGCTCACTTAACAGTGCTATATGCAGTTCCTGCGTGTGAGGGCCATGAATACTGTGTTTTCAGAGGATAGCAAAAGGTGTAGAAGACATTAGCTAACCCATCCAACATTTACTGAATGCATCCTTCCCAGGCATAGTTAATTATGAGCTATGAGTAACAGGTTCTTCCATCCATCAGAAGCCAAGCACACACCATACCATCTTATACCAAAAGTAGGAGGCACACAGCTGCTGTCTCCAGTCCTCTGTGGAAGAAGGTGGGGAATGAATGAATGAATGAAGTGAGCAAGCAAGTATGCAATGGGCATATGAAAGAAAAGGTGATTACAGAGATGGTTATCAGAGGAGAAATTATGTGAACTTGACCTTAAACAACGTGGATTTAAAATGGGCAAACAACAGAACTGTGAAGATGTGAAGAAGATGTGAATGCGTGCAGTGGAGGGATTCACCTGGAGTGGGTAGGGCATGGTCAGATAATATACGAAACAGAACCAAAAAAAAAAGCTTAACTGTTCTAATTCTCAATAAAAATTCAATACTGATTTTGAGGCATTTCTGTCAGCAACCATGTGAAGACTGGGATGACTGAAGGCAGAGAAAACTATCTGGGGGTCAAAGTATACAGAAGTTCTCAGATGTGAGACTACACTAATTTCCTCCCTTTTTCTCCAACATTTCTCCAAATATTCAACCATTTTTATTCCTTTCCAAGGCTAAAACCAGCAATTATATTTGCTTTACACAGATCATTAAAATAATAATAATAAAAAAATACACTAACGCAACTTGTACAGCTACCCTGTGAGAGAGTCTCTCCCATCTTGGACAGGTGAAGCAGCAGAGCTTCAGCAAGGTTGAGACTACACACTCCCCACCTTGCACTCAGGCTACCCTAGATCCACAGGACCCAGGAGATTCCACCCTCTCCAAGACCTTGTCTCATCACGGCACCGTGCCTTTAGTTTCTCCCTCTTCTTTCTTCAAAGCCCTCAGCCTACCCCTTTCTTCCCAAGACGCTGTCATGATCCTTTTATTTCCTACCAACTTTCAAAAGGTCTTTCCACTGCCTGCTCTACCCCTCACTGCATCCTCAGTCATTAGTTATGCCCCCTCTTCTAGAAGCTCTCTCTAGAAGTCTAACGTGTGTCACATCCAACAAGATTCTTTCTCCTATCTTCTTCCTCTGTCCATACAATGACACTGTTGACAAAACAACACTGATGCAAGTGGTGCATGGGCAGGACAAGCGAGTGATGCAGACCTCCAGAGGGACGAGGCTACGGGACAAGAGGTCTACAGGCAGTTATGGAGAGCAAACCAGCTGTTCCTTTCCTCCCACCTGGAAACAGCAAGTATCACACTTCATGTTTGTTGTGTCATGGACACCTTCAAGCTGGATGTAGACATTGGGCAATATATCGGGCAATACATCGGATGTGTTTTCCCTGCAGTCTCACGTGTGTCTCCATCAAAACCTGCCTCCAGCCCCAAATGCTAACCTCGTGGACCTCACCTAGGAATGGCAAAGTGTCTAAATGAGTCCCCTTTTTCTCACCCCACTGTGTTCTCCACCTAGTGCCTCAATTCTCTGAGCAGGGTGCCTTTAGCCTCCCAGGCACCAATCTCTACATCTCTACCCACCTTCCAGCCTTCTTACCACTGTCAGTGACCCTCCTAAAACAAAGGCTGGATCATATCACTCCGTTCTCATCAACTACAATGGGTTCCTACTGTCTACAAAATAGAGAAAATTATAATGCTTCAATTCTGATCCTCACATTTTTAGTTTTATCTCCCATTAGTATCTCTTCATACCCTACACCCACACCAGCCAGTCCTCACTTTGTCGGTGCTCATAGTTTTAGACCTCCTTGCCATTCCTTTAGCTGGAATACCCTTCCTCTCCACACCCTGTTTACACCAAGGCTCAAGAAACCCCCTGTGGAAAACCCTACTCATTTCCTCTGATCAGTCACTCATGTCTGGGCTACTTCAGCACATTCTTCACTCCACTACACAACATTCAAGCAGGATGACTAAACTCTGAGCTTATTAAAGGCAGGACAGTGTCACCCATTTTTGTCTCTCACCTCACTCCTAGCTTCCGGCACGGTGTCTTAGACACATATGCTTTCATTAATTGATAAAACTGAGTGAAACACATGTTAGGAACTTAACATTTACAAAGCATACTTGAAGTTTATCTTCTAGTTTCAAATAAAGTCCTAAGATATATTGGTGTATGTTATAGATTGAACTGTGTCCCCCAAAAATGTGTGTCAACTTGGCTAGGCCATGATTCCCAGTATTGTGTGATTATCCACCATTTTGTCATCTGATCTGATTTTCCTATGTTTTGTAAATCCTACCTCTATGATGTTAATGTGGCAGGATTAGAGGCAGTTATGTTAATGACGCAGGACTCAATTTACAAGATTAGGTTGTATTTTGAGTCAATCTCTTTTGAGATATAAAAAAGAGAAGTGAGCAGAGAGAGAGGGGGACTGCCTACCACTAAGAAAGCAGAGCTGGGAGCAAAGAGTGCGTCCTTTGGACCTGGGGTCCCTGCTCTGAGAACCTCCTAATCTAGGGGAAGATTGATGACAAAGACCTTCCTCCAGACCTGACAGAGACAGAAAGCCTTCCCTCAGAGTTGGCACCCTGAATTCAGACTTCTAGCCTCCTAGACTGTAAGAGACTAAATTTTTCTTTGTTAAAGCCATCCACTTGTAGTATTTCTGTTATAGCAGCACTAGATAACTAAGATAGTGTATAACATACAATAGCTTAAAAAAAACAAAAACACACACAAAACCAGTACAAATCAACCTTCATTTACATAAAATTAATGAGCCTTTTAAGGGAAGAATGCTAACATAAATGCAATAACTAAATTAACAAAGATAAATTACTCCATTTTATTTGTTATCACTAGGGTATTATCACTGAGTGAGAAAAAACATTACAGTAAAAACAACTTTACACTACATTCTGATGTCTACTTTTGCCACCGAGTTTTTTTCTGGAGACTTCTCCAGTCACGGTGGTAAAACAGTGCACTGGTCAGCAACCCCACCAGCTGATCAAGCAGAGATGTCAGGCATAAACACTGCCCATCCTCTATGGTCTCCTCCGAGAAGGTGAGCGTGAGTGCAGGCACACATGGAGACAAGGGTTACCTGGAGCCAGAGCTGGGTCAAAGAGGGAGGATGGACAGCGGCCCCGCCCCCCACACCCACTTGGCAGCATGCCCAGTGGAGGTGAAAATATGCACAGCAAAAGTTGGAAACACACTCAAGGCTGAAATCGCCCTGCTTGTTTCAAAAGAGACCCTAGTTTTAAATCACTTCTGCCAAGTGGCCATGATGGCTGCTCTCTCAGATGATCCGCAAGAGCCAGGTTAGGGGCACTGAAGCAAACTCCTTTTTTTATATAAAGTTTCTCCAGTGATTTCAAACACCATGAAAGCAGGACTAGATAAACCAGAAAACCAGGGCAATAGTTTAGGATCTTCATAGTCTGTATAAAATCCAAATCTAGTAGCCTAGCGACATCCCTTCTATCCCAACCCACATGAAACCCTAAAACTGCCAAGAAAAACTTTTTACCATAAATTTACATTTTATTTTCAATGAAAATACTCTTAATTTCATAATTTTCATACCACTTTTGTCTTTTTTATTTAAAATATGATAACCAATTGACATACTAGATAAAATTGTTTACATTCCAGTGGCGCATGGTTAATGACTAGGGCATGAACGATTCAAAACCACAGTAATTATCTCAGCATTCCCTACAAAGTGCCCCATTTTGTCTTGGCTAGAGGAGAGGGGAGGGAGCGGGAAACAGGGAAGGGAGAGGAGTGAAGAAGGAACAGCACTGTATAAGTAGAAAGCAAATGTCAATTATCATACTTAGACTTTCACGTTTTAAAACCCGTTAAACAGGATCAACTGTCATGAGAAAATAGATGTCACAGTCCAGGCATACAACTAGTTTAGTTTAGCTTCACCATTCAGCTAAAAGATTGAGTTTCTCAAAAATATACCAAATATCGGGCCTACAAAAGTTATTTCTTTGTAAAATTTACTAAGATTTATTCCTTTTGTAAAATGTAAAGAATGGACTGATATCACGAGCAGGTTCCTACTTACAAAAACAGACAGCAATAATTTCAATGAGTATATCTAACACAATTTTCCAAGATACATAGTGAAAGATTTTACAGGTGAGTGCCTCTCACTGACGCAGGATATATATTTCACATACTCACTATCACTGTGTCAACAATGGCTATGATGTATTTAACACACATGTGTGATTCACACTCAGTGAGGACCTCACAGTAAGGGCGACAGCTTGCTCGGGAAAGCACAGAAAACCAGTGCGAGGTAGTTCAATAAAAACCTAGTGCTATTTGTAAGTCATCGTGAGAACAGAACATTGTGCAAAACTAATCCACAGGAACATTTCTCAACTGTTTCAGTAACACAGAGAATTTATACCAGAAATGGGCAGGAAACTATTACTCTTAATAGACTCTCCTTAAGAGCACTTAACTAAGAGCAGTTAGTTTGAAATTAGGACTTCTGTTTTCTTTATGAGTTTTCTAATTGTACCCTCAACTATACATTTCTGCTTCAATGCCCTTTACCTCTTCAGCTTTCTTGCTATTAAGGAAAACTCTGTTTCCTCTGATGAGGAAACAACCTAAGAGAGATGGGTAGAAACACAATGCACACTAAAATGGAAAAGGGGATGGAGGGCAACACTTGAGAGGGCGCTAATGACAGAATGGTGATGCTGGATTTCCTATCAGTAAGTGACCTTGATCGGGGGCCATGGGGCTTCATGCATTCACTCTATAGCTACACACGAACTACAACAGCACTTCTAAAAAGATATAAGGCTTTTACCTCAGAACGCTGTGCAGGCCTGTGCCTAGGCAACACTGAGTGCTTAAGTCTCCGTGTATGCAGCAGGTACTGGCTGATGATGGTAACCTGGTCTCATCTGTAACCCAGGAAGCAGCTTCACTTGTCTGCTGCTGATTTCACTTAGACAATGATGTCCTCTTCACCTTCATCTTTTTAGACAACAGGGCAGGATCAGAACGGAACAGAAAAATGAAAAGGCTTACAAGAAAGTTTGTTGTTTTACACACAATTAAGCTTCCCTGTATCCATCAGAGAGGCTGTGTGGTCGCCTTCTCACTGAAGGCTGTGTTTCTCTTAGGAATCTGGGGTGAATGCACTGTGCCTTTACCAGCTGAGACAAATAAGTACCAGGAACAGTCAGCAGCCACAGGTGCGCAAGTAAGAATGATTCAGCAAACGGTATGGAAAGAGCTGAGACGCTCTATTTATGTGTATCTATCATGTGTATTAAGAGACCTCAACCACACACTCATTTTACAAGTGGTCAGTATTAGAGGGTAAGAGAATAGTAACCAGTAAGACATATGTAGAAAGAATTAAAGTGTCCCTTCCCTATCCTACAAAGTTGAACAATAAATCCTGGTCAAAACAATTTTCTGACAGTAAGATGATAATTACATTAAGTGTATAATAAGTAGATAAACCAAAATTATAAGATAAGCAAGGTGGCTTTACATAAGTTACTGCTTGACAGAAAACTTTTTTGTAATTGCTATTTAAAAAAACAATGTTTAAGAGGCTTTAAAGATTCAAAAAGCTTCTAAACATATATATATATATATAATACACTTGTGTGTATACATATATACACATATATATACACACACATACATATTCACTTAACCGACTTAAGTGAAGAGGGAAAGTTATCTTTAGATACTGTACTTTAAAAACTTAGGGCACACAACATTAAACAACAGACTTTGTTTTCAGGATACAATCTGATACACATTTTAGTCTATATTAAGAACTAAGAGTTCATTTTCTCTGAATTGGAGTGAAACATGCTGGTGGCAAGTGGCAGCTGGCATTTACAACAAATGATACAACAAGAACACCTGGTTTTCCTTGTTTAACCAAAATCTCTATCAACAGAGATGGCTCTTCAACAAGAAAATATAAGATATGGAATCTTCTGAAAGCAGGTTAGCTGTTAAAGTGCAATAGTGAAATAATCTATCCTAGAGAAAATAAAGCGAATTAACTGTCAAGCTAAAGTAAACTAAGAACACATTCATGCTGAAATTTTTGCTAAAATCATGAATTCAATCCTGTTTCTGAAACAATTCAAGAGGTGTTAACAGTCTCAAAACTCTAATTGGCCTAAAAAAAAATGAATGCACCATGTTGTTTGAGTAGGAAAAAAACCCAAAACCCTGTTGGCATCAATTCCAACTCACAGTAACCCTACAGGACAGAGTAGAACTGCCCCATAGAGTTTCCAAGGAGCACCTAGTGGATCTGAACTGCCAACCTTTTGGTTAGCAGCCGTAGCTCTTAACCACTAAGCCACCAGGGTTTCCCTTGAGTAGGAAAGGGATGGATAAAAAGATTGACAACTTCAAAAGAAGCTGGAAATTATGGCTTTAAACCATCAAAAGCAAATTTGCTATTTCAAAACATATAAAAATCTAATGTATTTTAATCTTAAATATTGCACATTAACATTTGCAGTCAATATGGGAATCCATGCCAAGCAAACCTTCAGACGTCACATGTTGAGCTGGACCTGTTCTTGCTCCTATTGGTCACTCATTTCAATGGGCTTTCTGCCCAGAACCTGGCCACTGACTTAGTCATGCATTTCTCGTTCACTATGTGAAATCCTCCTGTTCCAAAGATAACAAAAGGTGCCTAGGGTCATCACAGACAATTATTTCAGAGATAATGAGACTTCAATGACATTTTACATAGGAACAATTCAGTTATAGAGAAATAATTCTGCAGATATAAAATGTAAACAGTTAACATACACTTGTCAGGCGCAGCACCATTCTTCACCACTCAACACCCACACTGCATGTTGTATTGAAATCAGTTATAAAAAATGAAAGACTCAGACTAAATAACCATCGTCATGCCTACTCTGCTCAATGTGAAAAAAGTCCTTAGAAAATGATATCCTAGATATGGCTGTGTGCTACTATCTTCCGACGAACGGTATATTGCTCACTTGATACATCATTTACGGAAATCTAAGTAGGCTTTGGGACCTCCCAACAGCTAGTATAAATATCACTATGCTACAACTAGAATCAGATGGCCAGAACACCATGAGAACTGGTGCTCCACGGATACTCCAAGGAATAGGAAACCAGAAAGGTCCAAGGGCCCGAGGCTGCAGAAGAGGAAAGACTAGACTCCAGACCACTGCAGGGACCTACAGTCTGAGCAGATTAACTCAGTGTGTACAAAAACAGGCTCGTAGCTAGGAGAAGTGAACCATCTGTTTATTTGCATTGAAATGTGTTATTCATGAAGTATCCTCTTGACTTTAGGTGATCATAAGCTTTGAGCATGCCACGAATTTGCAGAACATACCATATTCTTCTTACTTTACTTCTGTGGGGCGTGTTGGGGGGAATATGTGAGTAGTGGTAGACACCCAGCATCTGGAAAGACATGCTCTGAGTTATTCTGCCATTTAGATAATGGGGACTTTGTAGGAGAGTCTACCAAACTGTTGTCACTAAATTAGGATTGGCAAGTAGCAAATATTGGAGGTTTCTTAACACGTTCATCATTTACAGTAGTTATTCCTGAATATAACTGGCTACAGGTTATCTTCCCTCACTCCTCTGGGGTTAGTTCATTGATAAGCACATAACCCTGAAGGATAGTATCTTGAACAAAACATCTGAAATAAATTCTAATAAAAAAACTATAAAAATCTTAAATAATTCATGATATAGGCAAGTCACCACATAATAGTTGCTTTGATAAACAAAATCTTACAAATTCAGTAAAAAAAAAAAAATCAGCAGCATAAGATAAAGCAAATATGCAAAAAATTTAAACCATGATAAAATAATTAGGTTTACATTATAGTTAATTACAGCAAAAAAAAAAAAAAATACAATTTTGTTGCTGTTTTTAAGCACAACTTAAGTTTTAAATTATAGCACTTGAAATTACAAAAAAAAATGAACTACTACAAAATGAATTCTACATTTTCGAAAAATCACTCAAAAATAAGACCACTGAATTGTTTGCAAAGCAGTTCTATCAACGACAAAACGACTCCCCGCCCTCCCTCCCCACCAAAGCCCAAGTAGTCATCTACAACAGCCTAGAGGTCCAGATGATGCTTCTAGACTGCTGTCTGTATCAGAGGCCAAAGTTGGGTCTGTTGACATTGAAGACACATCATTGACCGATGATGATGACGATGGGTGCTGAGAGCCATTGATCACTGCTGCACCTGTGCTATGAGAAACAAAATGGCAAATCAGTTGCAGACAGAGTTGCAAACCGAGCTACTTGCACTGCACTGACTGCCCCCAGTGGTGAATAATTTTTCTCTTGAGTTAGAAGGCTCACTAAAGATACTCACAAAAGATATTCAACACAACACTAACTTACAAACACTCTTCACTGCAAGCTATCAGGTGAGAATCCGGAAAATGTTTAAATATTTGGAGTTTTGTTCTTTCCCAACAAGGAAACAACTAACAACTAATTTGTTTTTCAGTTTGAGATAAGAATTTTAAGCCCAAGTCACATTTAGAAATAGCCCTACAGAAGACCTATGAATGGGCTTCATTCATGCTGTATGTGAACTCTTGAAAATATATGCAAAACTGCCTGTCTCTGCATTTTGTTTGAGAGAGGATCTCAAAGGGCTATATGACTCAAAAAGTTAAACACTACTGCCCTATAGAAAATAATTTATATTTAAAAAAATTTTTATTTTATTGCTATTGTTGTTGAGAATATATACAGCAAAACATACACCAAATTCAACCATTTCTACTTGTACAATCATTATGATTACATTCTTCGAGTTGTGCAACCATTCTCACCCTCCTTTTCTGAGTTGTTCCTCCTTCATTAACATAAACTCACTGCCCTCAAAGGTTCCTATCTAATCCTTCAAGTTGCTGTTGTCATTTTGATCCCATATACACAGTTCTTAAAGGAGCATAATGCTCAAGGTAGATACTTTTTACTAGTTAAGCTAAACTACTGTTTGGTTTTAAGAAGACTTCAGGGGATATTTTTGGTTTAAGGTTTAAAGGTTATCTCAGGGCAATAGTTTCAGGGGTTCATCTACCCTCCACAGCTCCAGAAAGTCTACTATCCATGAGAATTTAAAATTCTGTTCTGCATTCTCCCCGTTTTAATCAGGATTCTTCTATAGAATCTTTGATCAAAATGTTCAGTAGTGATAGCCGGGCACCAGCCTGTTCTTCTAGTCTCATAATAAAAGAGGCAGTTGTTCATGGAATTTTATGGGATCTTTACACTGAAAAGAAACCCTGGTGGCATAGTGGTTAAGAGCTATGGCTGCTACCCAAAATGTTGGCAGTTCGAATCCACCAGGAGCTCCTTGGAAACTATGGGGGCAGTTCTACTCCGTCCTATAGGGTCGCTACGGTTTTTTTTCTTTTTTCCGACTGAAAAGTCCAAACAATACTGATGGTATGTCTTATTTAAAGCAAAAGTCAAGACAAAGAATAAAATCATGTGAATTGGACGAGACCTTAGTTCAACTACTCTAGGTTACATGAGGTCACATGACTTGCCAGGGTCACACAAGTGGCATAGTTTGGAAAACTCAGGTCTTGTTATTTCTATTCTAGCAAATTGCTGATAAACACATATACGGATTAAACAGAAAAAGCAGACCCAGACTGTTTCCTTTATCAAAAGCATTTTCTAGATTTTAAAAAGTAACAGGGATACAAAGGCAAAGGACCATAGACTTGGGGGACATCTACACCAACTGGCACAACACAGTTCATAAAGACAATGTTCTACAGTCTACTTTGGTGAGTAGCGTCTGGGGTCTTAAAATCTTGCAAGTGGCCATCTAAGACACAACTATCAGTCTCTTCTAGTCTGGAGCAAAGGAGAAGGAAAAAAAACTAAAGACCCAAGGGAGCAATTAGTCCAAAGGACTAATGGACCACATGAACCACAGCCTACACGACCCCGTGACCAGAAGAACTAGATGGTGCCCGACTACCACTATAGACCGCTCCGACTGGGATTACAACAAAGGGTCCCCTGACAGGGAGAAAAATGTTGAACAAATGATCAAATTCACAAAAAAGACCAGACTTACTGGTCTGACAGAGACTGGAAGAACTGGAGACTATGGCCCCTGGACACCCTTCTAACTCAGACTTGAAGCCACTCCCAAAGTTCACCTTTCAGCCAAAGATTAGGCAGGCCTGTAAGACAGACAACACCACACCAAGGTTCCAAATTAGGTTTTACTACTATTAAATAGGAGTCCTGGTGGCGCAGTGGTTAAGAGCTCGGCTGCTAAGCAAAAGCTCAGCAATTCAAATCCACCAGCCGCTCCTTGGAAACCCTATGGGGCAGTTCTACTCCATCCCATAGCCCTGGTTGTACACTTGTTAAGTGCTCCCCTGCTAACTGAAAGGTTGACAGTTCAAACCCACTCAGTGGGTCTTCCGGAGAAAGACCTGGCGATCTGCTCTTGTAAAGATTACAGCCTAGAAAACCCTATGGGGCAGTTCTATTCTGTCACGTGGGGTTACTATGAGTCAAGATCTACTCGACAGAACTGAACAACAACTATTAAATATTAATACAAAGCTGATTAATCATACTACTAAAATATTTATAATATAGCTTTTAGTTTGTTACAACTAAATTGTGGAGAGAAGGCCATTTCCAAAATACATAGCCCTTGTCTTAGTCCCTTAGGTTCCTAAAAGCTTTCAAACATCTGCATTTTCAACAGGATCTATATCAAAATTTGGAAGGTTGCATTCCTGATCAGTGATTTAAAAAACAAAACTCTGAAGTATAACTACAAATGTCATAAGCAGCTACAAAATTCATTTAAGCAATTATATGCCATAGTACAATGAAATGGGCATCCGAAACTATGCTGTTGTCACTCGGTTTCCACAGTGAATTGGTTCCAGGACCCCCTTGGATACCAGAATCTGCGGATGTTCAAGTCTCTTATATAAAATGACGTAGTCATTTGTGTATAAAGCTAGAGCTAGGGGCGGGGACTGCGAGGTGCCCACTGTACACGTGTACCTACTATGGCAGGTTCTGGTTCCCACCCAGGTGGGGGCTAAGAGGAGAAGAGGGCTTTGTTTTTCCTGGCTGCCTCCTTCCTGCTCAAGGAAGTGGCGGAACTGTGTGTGCACCCCAGCGGGTACGACGATCACCAAGGGATGCCCAGCCCGTAAGGCAGGGGCTGAACCGCAAAGTGGAGATGGTATTTCCAGATTGGGCCTAGGCCTCCCTTCCTCTGCGACCGTCCCCTGGGGACCTGCTACGGGTGCTTGGGCTGGCTCTCCTGGTGATAAGAGTTGGACAAGTCCTGATGTCCAGAGAAGATGACTTTAACAGTGTTGAAGGATCTAAGACTTCTGCACTTGGTGACGTCAATAAAGATGAAGGATTTGTAGAAGAGTTCAATAGATAAAAACTTGCTAATTTTCCAAGTAACTTTCTGGAATTTTTTTTTCCCCAAATATTTTCAATCCACAGTTGGTTCAATCTGCGGATGTGGAACTTGCAGATACAGAGGGCTGACTAATTTAAAAATCTTACCCATAAACAAGATGCTAGACACAACATCCATTTTTTGCTTAGAATGTAGTAGAGCTTCGGAGGGATGATTAAAATGGCATAGTCTTAGTCAAAAGCAAGACCTGTCTGCTGAAATATTACTCAGACTTCAAGGCCCAGTTCAAATTTCACCTCTTCCATAAAACTGTCCTGAGCCCTGCAGCCAGAGAAGTCTCCACTGCCAGCCAGAGGCAATACAGAATGCCAGAACACCAAGCACTCTGAAGCTGTGACAAACCTGGCTTCAAGTATTAGCTTTTCAATATATTACACCTGTAATCTTATGTTACTTAATTTTTCTGAAATTCTGTTTCCTCATAGGTGATATATGCACAACAATCTCTATCTTGGTGTTATGGATTGAATTGTGTCCCCCAAAAATATGTGCTGTAAACCCTAACCTCTATGTCTGTGGTTATAATCCCATTTGGGAATGGGTTGTCTTTGTTATGTTAATGAGACAGGAGTAGTGTAGGGTGTGTTTTCAGTCAATCTCTTTTGAGATATAAAAGAGATTAAACAAGTGAGCAGAGCAGAGATGGGGGAAAGATAGATGCCAAGCCACACAGAGCTCTCTAAGGAACCAGGAAGAAGAAGCTGAAGAGACCTGGACCTTCCCCCAGAGCCACCAGAAAGAGAAAGTCTTCTCCTAAAGCTGGCACCCTGAATTTGGATTTCTAACCTCCAAAACTGTGAGAAAGTAAATTAAAGCCATCCACTTGTGGTATTTCTGTTACAGCAGTACTAGACAACTAAGACACTTGGGGCCTTGGAAGGAGAATGAAGTATCTAAATTATCTAAGTGTCTGTATGTAGTACGTGCTTAATATCTACATGTTTCCCTGTCATTTAAATTTTTCCCTCAGCTCTTCATACTTTTACAAACACTACAATTAAATAGAAGGTCAGCTTATAACAAAAGAAAGTTATTTACTCCCTCAAACCAGTCTTCTTCTTAGGGAATGAACATTTTCTAATGGTGGTTTTAATGTCACTGCCTTAGTTAAACAAATCAAGAATACCAAAAAGAGACAGATGGTAAGCTGCCATCACATGGACCAAATTTTGCAATGAAGCTTTTGCTTATTTATCCAAAGTAAAGAGTGTTTGTTAAGAGCACAGAAAGTTAAATATATTGAATTTTGAGACATTTTTTCTTTAAAGATAGAGTAACAATGCCAGTGAAAAAAGGTTTTAAGCCTTTGGTGACTCAATTATTTCCTGCTTTGAATTTTTTGTTGATAACATGTGTTTTCATTAATGGAAGCATGCTGACTCACTGAGTGTGTCTGAATTTTTGGTAGATAGTATGGCTTTTCTTTCCTTGTCCCCTCCCACAAGTTGACCCTAAGTGTTTAGTGGTACATATGAAGTACTACAAATTATACCCCCAGAGTCCCCACCAAGGTCTACTGGTACATACGTGTAACAAATAAAAAATTTCAAAATTTCTATTTTCCTACCAAAAATTCAGACACCTCATACAATACCCTGTAAAAACAGTAATTTGTGGCACACACGCACTTCTTCAGTTTCAAACAGTCACAAAGGCTGACAAGCACTGTCAGTGGTACAGCAGCTTCCCAAGAAATCTCAGAGGCTGTTATATGTACCACCAGGCACAAAGGGTTAAGCTTCTGTTCTTTAAGGGACTGTTAATATCATAGAAAAAGATGTACATTTTATGAAGCAAGCTACTAATATATTAGTACTGATAATGTTACTACAATTTATTGGTATAATGGTGTACTAATGTCTTTCTAATTTAACCACTCAAATCGTACTCCTAATACTTATTAGACTTCAAATAACAGTGGTAGTAAATATGGAAAGAACTGTAGGTTTCAGGCAGGTCCACTGAAGATTACAAGGCAGCAAGTAAGCCGCAATCTTAACCAAGCTTCTATTGTAACCAACCTAAAGGAGAGGGCTGACCCCGTATCACTCCATTCTTGGTTCTCTCCTCCAAGTCCATAACTTCCTTGTATATCAATTCTGAAAAAGAGAGGAACAAAAATCAGTTTTTCAAAGTCTAAGAGCCAATCTCACAGGTTATATATGTTTTAAGTAAAAAATTTACATGTTAAGTACTTCAACAGTGTCCCTACAATGGCAGGGTGTCAGCCTAAGATTCATAGGTGTTAATAGCAATTCCTTGATCCTCAACCGTGAATTATATTGGAAGAAACTAAAATCTCTGCTGTAGCTACTGTTTCTAAAGTTTGTTTAAGGACACAGCTAGGGTTAGAAGCTTTATCTTTTTTAATTCTCTAGTACCTTGCACTACACCATAATGTACCACATACTATTCTGTAGTACAAATGCTTGTTTAGTTCTGTCTTTATGAGGGCTTGAAACACGTATGTCCTATTAACTTCTAGTTCTTGAGCCCCTGGATTAGTGCTTGGTACACTGTAGGTGCTCGACAGATATCTGTTAAAAGATTCAAATCAAAGGCTATATGGAAACTTGCTTTAATCAGAAAAGAATACAAATACCTTTTCTTAGGACAAGAAAACAGGTAACTACACTTCTCCTTATGAGTACTCTACAGTGACACTCTATCACTGTCAAGAAAATTTCTGTACTTATACACAACAACCTCATTTCATCTGCGCATATTTTCTAAAAGGTAAAATCATCAGAGGCTTTCTGTAAATGTGATAAGAAGTAAATGGAGATGCAGGTATAGACTTAGAATCCTTCAGCAGAGAAACACATCCAAGTATGTAAGTTCAGATCTACTGTTCAAAGCACGGGAAAAATGCTCAGTACACACATCCTGAATCATTTCCAATTCAATTATGATTTTTCACAGCCTTAATGAACTTGCAGACTAGTGAGCAACAGTATATACAGTCATTACAGGGGAATAAACTCTGGGAGAGGTGAAGTGCTAAAGTATATACATTTTTTAAAAAAATTCAGGTCATCATATTTATGTAAAGAATACATACTTGTGCAGGAAAGAGATCACACAGCAGGCCTGAGACTGCTATCCTTAGAAAGACTTGCTTGCGGGTTAGCTCTTGGCTGGCTTCTGGGAACCCGGATTTCAGGTGGGTCCCCACCATTAACTGATAAGGTGTACCTGAACTGTGCAAACAATATGGGTTACGCTGAACACCTGCTTTCCTTCTGGGAGTCTGGAATTCTGGTACATGTTAGGCAGAGGGTGACTACGTGGCCAATCCCAACAAAAACCCTGGGCACTGATTCTCTAACAGGCTTCCTTCACAGACATTTCACACTGCTGTCACAGCTTACTGCTAGGGGACTAAGCGCATCCTGTGACTCCACAAGGACAGGGCTCTTGGGAGCTTGTGCCTGGTTTCTTCTGGACTTTACCCCATAAGCCTTTTCCCTTTGCTGATCTTGCTCTGTATCATTTCACTGTAACAAATCAGAGCCACAAGTATGACTATATGCTGAGTCCCATGAGCCTTCCTAGTGAACCGCTAAAACTGAGGGCTGTTGAGGGACCCCAAACACAACAGTATGTAAGAATACTTATTTGTATACGCATATAATGAAAGGTCCAGACATCAAACAACTGGGGCTGGGGTGGAAAAAACTTGTATACTTTCATGTATTTCCTATTCTTCTACACTATTTAAATTTTTTTAGTAATACTGTCATTCAGGGAAGGCTTTTATATTTTTTACCTTCTATATGTCTCTATAATTTGAATTTTTTTAACAAGGAGAATGTAATACTTTCATAACTAATAAAACTGACAATGTTATCTTGGTATACACCATCCTAAGACACAAGAAAGAGCTGTCTGTGGCATTCCTGACTCACATATGCAAAGCAAGTTAGGCTACAAAAAGCAGAGGCACTGAATTGCTGGGTGGAGGGCTGTGGGGACCATGGTCTCAGAGAACATCTAGCTCACCTGGCGTAACACAGTTTATAAAGACAATGTTCTTACATTCTACCTTGGTGAGTAGCGTCTGGGGTCTTAAAAGCCTGTGAGCGGCCATCTAAGATACTCTACTGGTCTCATCCCTTTGGGAGCAAGGGAGAATGAAGAGAACAGGATACAAGGAACAGATCAGTCCGAAGGACTAATGGACCACAGCTACCAAGGCCTCCACCAGACTGAGTCCAGTACAGCTAGATGGTGCCCGGCTACCACCGACTGCTCTGACTGGGATCACAACAGAGGGTTCTGGACAGAGCTGGAGAAGGACATAGAACAAAATTCTAACTCACAAAAAAAAAAGACCAGATTTACTGGCCTAAAGGAGACTGGAGAAACCCCGAGAGTAAGGCCCCCAGACACCCTTTCAGCTCAGTGGTGAAGTCATTTCCGAGGTTCACCATTCAGCCGGGGAGTGGACAGCCCCATAAAACCACATGGGACTAATGAGGCACAGCAGTCCAGGGACAAGGACCAGAAGGCAGAAGGGGGCAGGAAAGCTGGTGATAGGGAACCCAAGGTTGAGTAAGGACAGTGTTGATGTGTTGTGAGGTTCTTAACCATTGTCACAGGGCAACATGTGTACTAACTGTTAAATGAGAAACTATTTTGTTCTGTAAGACTTCATCTAAAGTGAGAACAGCAGCACAACTGGAAGAGAATAGTCGATGTAACTGAACTTTGTGCTTGTAGAAATTTTTGAAATGGTGTATCTTTGGCTATGTATATTTTCACCAACAACAACAAAAAAAGGTTGAGAAGGGAGAGGGTTCACATGTTGTGGGGTTGTTAACCAATGTCATAAAACAGTATGTGTACTACTGTTTCATGAGAAACTATTTGTTCCGTAAGCCTTCACCTGAAGTACAATTTAAAAAAAAAAAAAAAAAGCAAAAGCAAAGATGCACAGCTGAAATGGACACACTTCACTCAGAAAAATCAACTTAAAATCTGTTTTAAGGCCTCTTCATGAAATTATGCTTTAAAATATTGGGGAAAAATTTCTATTCCCTTTCAAGGTTAAGGGTGACTTCTCATGAAATAGGTTATAGACTGCTAGCAGTTGCAAGTGGCTTACAAGGTAAGTTTTAGTTACTTTATGAATAAATTTTTTTGAAATGTTTACTATAAAATAAATATTCAAAGCAGAAAAAAAAGTAAACGCTCATCTCCAAACAAAAAAGCAACCACTGCAAATATTTTGCCATATATTCTTCTAATTTCTAAATTTGTGCATAGATTTTTAAAAGTTAACTGCAGTCAAACCATGTGTAAGTGTTTATACTTGCTTTTTTCATTTAATTTCAACCACTTCCATGTCATCATATAGTTTCATAATATTAACAGACACCATACATCAAGAAGTAGGTAGGTGTAAGAGACTTTATTCTTTCTTTTCTGTTACTAGACATTTAGATTTTACCAAGTACCTCCCTATCATGAAGAATGCAGTAACTAACATTTTGGCACATAAAAATTTTCTGGTACTTAGTGCTATTTCCATAAGAATTAAGGACACTTTAAGGACAAAAGCGACCATTCAATTTTGCAGTTCTGTGTGAAAACCTGACAAAGACAGAACTTCCGACAACATGGAGCCCTGGTGGCACAGTGTTTAAGAGCTCAGCTGCTAACCAAAAGGCTGGCAATTTGAATCCACCAGTTGCTCCTTGTAAACCCTATGGGGCAGTTCTACCCTGTCCCATAGGGTCCCTAGGAGTTGGAATCAACACGATGGCAATGAGGTTTTTGTTTTTATTTGGTCAAACAACATTGTTTATGATCAGAAATGATCCAATTAATAAGTTACACCAGGACAGAAAGACTATAAACAAACTACATGTCTGAGAGGAAGCTGTTGCTTCCCTGAGGGCAATGACCTTCTGATAGGGTATGTCCCTTGCAGGGACCGTTTGGAAGCTGTGCCTATGGAGTTGTTACAATAGATACTTGTTCCCACTTGGGACATTGAGCTTCTAAAGCCAGGGTAACTGCACATCCACCCCTGGGAATCTTGTTCTCTCACTAGGAGGCCAAAGAGAAGAGCTGCTGGGCAGCTGTGTGGACTGCTGTGAGAGCTACTCCCACCAAAGAGAAACACTGGATGCTGTCCTGCTGATGATATGTGCGCTTCTTGTCCTGTATTCTTCTACGTGAATCTGCTGTCAAATGTGGCCTGTTCAAATCCTGTGAGTCTGAATGTCCACTTAATAAGAACCTTCTGATGAATGTTAGAGAGACATTATTCATCATCTTCTTTGGGTCATGGAATCCTTTGAGAATTTCATAAAAGCTATGAACCCTCTAAATGTACAAACAAAAATGTGCATGGAATTTCCAGGAGTCTTTGTATTTCCTGATGAATAAGCTTCTGATTAAAAATCTTCAGTTACAGGGTAAAAGGACACAGTAACATTTATGTTAGTAATAAAGTAACACAGAAATGGATTCGTTTGAATGAACAGGAGCTAGAGACATCACCATCTGCTTGCTACAGTAACCTTCTCAGGCTTGAAAAGAGAAAGGTATAAAGTCTACATAGAAGAAAAAATAAGAGATTTTTTTCCTCAAAGAAACAAAAAGGAATGATAAGCATTTAAGACAGGAAGAAAAAAAGAAAATAGCACCCCTTGGTGAAAGGGGATTAAGGTAGAAGAACCAGAGCTAATTAACAGTGCTAACTAGGCAAAGTAACCTGTAGTTAATGGCTTTGGTAATGGATTTTTCTTTCTGCCGTGACACTAAAAGGTCACTACAGGACCGCTGTAAGTTGGAATCGACCCAATGGCAACAGGTTTGGTTTTTTGGTTTTTATGACACTAAAACTCAGCTTGAAAAGGGCAGTCTGTGGGCAATTACTGAACCGCACTGGGGTCTAGAGAACAAAGATGAAGACTAAAGGTAAACATTTTTAAAGAAATAAAAAACCCCAAATATATCCCTATAGAAACAAAAATACTGTATTATACTGATTGTAAGATGTACCTTTTTCAGCTTAGAATCTCTGAAATCAGGATGCATGTTATAATCAATGGCACAGTGCAACTGGCAGTATTTTCTCTTCCTTAGTGCCACATAATGGTGTGTCTTAACAATTGGTGGCATATTAAGATTTTACGAAATACCATAAATGTCTATTGTAACTGTAGCGGGATATACAGATACTAGGTTGGACATTTTAATACGCTGACCCACAGTTATATCCTTGTATATTATTTATTACAGATACTGATGCAATTCTATCATTCTGGTGGGCTCTGGAGACTCTAGCGATGTGTCTGTCTTCCAAAGTCAACTTGGAGAAAACTAATTTCTGGTTATTCCTAAGAAGAAAGAATCAAATTCATTCCCCCCAAAAATAAATTTATAGATTTATAAACCTGTTTAGGTTTATACCTTCCCAGTTCCTCTTGTCTTCCTGGTATTTTGACATTTACCTGTTTTGTGCGTGTATATGTGCTTTAGGTGAAGGTTTACAAAGCAAGTTAGTTTCCCATTCAACAGTTTATACAGAAATTGTTCCATGACAATGGTTGTAATCCCTGCAATGTGTCAGCACTCTCCCCATTACCACCCTGAGTTCCCCATTTCCATTTGCCTGGGTTTGCTGCCTTCTAATCTTTGCTTTTGGGCAGATGTTGCCCTTTTGGTCTCATGTAGATGACTGTTTTAAGAGCACTTTCCTCACGGGTGTTACTGTTTATTTTATAGGGCTGTCTAATATTTGGCTGAGAGGTGATCTCTGGGAATGGCTTCAGCTCCAAGTTAGAAGGCTGTCTAAGGGCCATAGTCTTGGGGGTTCCTCCAGCCTCTCTCGGACCAGTAAATCTGGTCTTTTTTATGAATCTGAATTTCTGTTCTACATTTTTTTCCCACTCTAACCAGGTCCTTCTATTGTGATCCTGGTCAGTCAGTAGTGGTAGCCAGGCACTATCTAGTTCTTCTGGTCTCAAGCTAGTGGAGACTGTGGTTTGTGTGGGCCACTGGTCTTTGGGACTAATTGTTTCCTTGAGTCTTTGGTTTTCTTCACTCTCCTTTGGTCCGGATGGAAAGAGAGTTGTATCTTAGATGGCCATTTGCAAGCTTTTAAGACCCTACTCGTTACTCACCAAAGTAGGATAGTGTTTTCCTTCTGACCTATGTCATGCCAATTGACCTAGATGTCCCCGAAACTATGGGCCTTAGCCTTCAAGCCCAGTAACTCAGTCTCATGAGGTGTCTGGTTATGTCTAAGATGTTTCCATGACTGTGATCCCTGTGTGCTCTATTATATATATGAATATACATGCAGCACATACAGATATGTATGTAGAAACATCCACAGCCAAACCTATATAAGCACATGGGTGTACTCCCATATGCCCTCCCTCACCTGTTCAGCATACATATCCACCTATGTATCCACTCATAAATTATTGTTATTACTGCTGTTGCAGGACTGTGTATATTATAGTATTTACCATTATTGCCTTTTATTCTTATGTACCTCTGTGTCTTCCCTTGCCATGGCTATGTTGTGCTGACTTACCCCATATCGCGTGCTGACTTTCCCTTCACCAAAATTAACACGTCTACTCTCTAGTTGGTGATTTTCACTTCCTCTCCATCCCATCCCTGGTAACCATCAAAAAATGTTTCTTTCTGTGTGTAAACCTTTTCTTGACCATTTATAATAGTGGTCTTACACAATACTTGTCCTTTTGTGATTGACTTATTTCACTCAGTATCATGTCCTCCAGATTCATCCATATTGTGAGATGTTTCACAGATTCATCATTATTCTTTATGACTGCGTAGTATTTCATTGTGTGTATGTACCACAGTTTGTTTATCCATTCATCCATTGATGGGCACTTAGGTTGTTTCCCTCTTTTTGCTATTGTAAATAATGCTGCAACGAACATGGGTGTGCATACGTCTATTCTCGTCACAGCTCTTATTTCTACAGGATGTATACCTAGGAGTGGCACTGCTCAATCGTATGGTATTTCTATTTCTAACTTTTTAAGGAAGCGCCATATCATTTTCCATAGCAGTTGTATGACACTTATCTCTTAATAACAAGTCTTCTGTCTCCATTTTAAGATAAGGTAAATAAAGGGTCACAGGATTTGCCCAAAGCCACATGGTTACAAAAATAGTCAAAACAATAAATGACAGCAACACACTTGGAGGTAAACAGGATCAAAAATGACCTGGGCCAAACATCTCAGAGGATCTTTAAAAAAAGAAGTATTTTAGCACCTCCATGACTATGAAAGTATTACTAATATTCAATTACATTCATAAAATAAAATAACTCACTCTGTTAGTGAGGGTGGGGGTAAGTAGGAGCTCCCATACAATGTGATGGATGTGTGAATGGCGACAATTTATCATACTTGAAGAATAATTTGGAAGTAACTGCATTTTCTCACATGTGCATAAGAACACTGCAGAGTCGTCTGTGACAGAAATAAAACTGGACACAACTTAAAATACTCTTAAAGAGGGAACACAAAATAGACATTGTGACATGTTCATGCAGCAGAACACCAGCCAGTCATTAAACCGAATAAGGCAGATATACCGATCAAGAGAGAATAATCTCCAAGGTACACTGTCACATTAGCATAGCAAGTGAGCAGAGTATGCAAACGTGTGTGGTTAAAAAGGGTGGGGGCAGAGAGGAAGGGAACACTAAATACACACATTTGTGTTTGTATATTCTCAGACTACGGAAGAACACAAAAGAAACCTTGAGCGTCTGTCCCTGGGGCGGGAGCTTGGAAAATGAAGAGTCAGGAAGGGAAGGAGATTTACTCTCTACTTTTATAAAAATATTAATAATCATATTACCAAACATCAGTTACAAATAATAGAAAATATCTTTAATTTCCCTAACAGGAGGAATAAATCACCAAAACAGCCAGCAGTTCTTTCAATGTTATCGCTAAGAACCAGATGGATGTTACCTTTCCACTCTTCTATTGTGTGCTCCCTTTCATCCAACTGCTTGTCAGGGATCTTTGGTGGTGGCTGAAAAACACAGGGCAACAACAATTGAGTCAGTTTATTGAAAATAAATATACTCTTATTATTATCTGAACCATCAATCAGAGGGAAGACTTGTAACATGCATTAGCAGAGCGAGACTGATCAATCATCAACAATCTTCTCACGCAGAGAGACTAGTTTTGGAAGACTCCTTTGCTTCAGGGAGAAAAGATGTTTAGTCATCTTTTTCTTTACTTCTAGCTTCTGAAATGGTCACATTTTATTTGCATCATGGAAATTTGCTGTACCTCGTACACAATTATTTGTTTTATAACTAAATTAGGATGTTCCTCAAAGCAGCTCAACATTGTAGCTCCTCTGGTCAGGTATCAGGGCAAGAAGGCCAGGAGCAATGGGAAGCAACTTTACTGTGTGTAGAAAGGTGCTTGGGAGTCCCTAAGTGATGCAAATGATTAATGCTCTTGGCTGCTAACTGAAAGGTTGACAGTTCAAGTATACCCAGAGGCAGCTCAGAAGAAAGGCCTGATGATGTACTTCTAAACAATTAGCCATTGAAAACTCCATGGAGTACAGTTCTACTCTGACATATAGGTTGGCAGGAGTTGGAATCGACTCCTCTAGTGGTGGAGGAAGGTGCTTGAATATGCTCATTAGCTTAAGGTACTCAGAAAAACATCACTATCATTTATCTATATTTTATTTAAATCTAAAAGATCTCCTCAACCTAACTTTAAGAATGCAATATATTCCTCAGACGTTAAGAAAAGAACTTACAGCTTCTGCTTCAGAAGGATCATACCAGACATTGATGTACGGATGCTGGAGAGCTTCATCTACAGAGATCCTTTTGGATGCATCGATTACCAGCATTTTGGATAACAAATCCCTTGCCTGACTGGCTGCAAAGATAATGATGTTAATGTACACGTATCTTGTAAAGCTTTTCAAATTATTCATAAATTTCAGAAACTTGATACTTGACACTGCAATTTATTTTTAAAGTATATGTTTTGAAAAGAATAGTTTTCACTACAAAATCAGGTCAAATATATGATGAAAATATATAAAATAAAGATAAATAACTAAAACCTCACATTGTTCCACCACCCACAGGTAACCATGGGTCACTCCCATAGGAATTTGAACATGAACACACACACACACACAAACACAACTACACTAAATGTATATATTTATAACAGGTACCTTTAAGTTTGTTGTGTTCTGAGTCAGCCGGGAAAAGTACATCGGGGAAGAGCTTCTCAAAGCTATAGCCGGCATATTTCGGTCTGTTTTCAACGTAAGTCCTTACTGTTGGTTGCAGTTTCTTCATGAACTCAGGACATGGTGTTCCAAGCTGTTCAATAACTTTATTCCATTGATCAATATCTAATATCAAGTTGCTAAGAAAAATACTCCATATCTAATGTTCAACATATCATAACCATATTAAAATGACAAGAAAATGGCTCTTCAAAAAATTCTAAGAAAGAATGTGGCAACTATCAATTTTATGTCTTAAAGCCACCTTGCCAAAGGCAGTGATTGTAGGTGGACAGAAAGGATCAATAAATAAGCTTTGTTAACTTTATTGTGTGCACAGGTGTGGGGGAGGGGCCACTAATACTGATCTTACTATAAAAATGGAAGCTAAAATTCATAAATTGTAAGTACAAACTATAATGGTAATCACCACTCACAGGGACACTAAATGCAAACGGCACACAATTCTAGAACACAAAATTTGCCTTCTTTTCTAGCTTATCAGAAAATGTGAAAGCATTTCCTAGAGAATAAGACCTATTTCTATGATGAGTTCTGGCTTCGAGTTTCCCACACTAACAGAGAAGATGCAGTAGGAAGAAAATGATGGCTATGGGAAAAGTGGCATTTTCTTTGACACTCTTTACTTAGCTTACGTTAATAACTTTTTTTTTTTTTAAAAGCTCTGAGACTTCTGAAAAAGATCAACACTTGGCTAAATTGTAAAGGTTAAGATTTTCTGATGTTGTCCCTTCAAGTTTTTACACTCCAGGCCCTTGAAGAATAAGGCCTAAAACTCTCTTATTGTAACCTTAGTGAATATGATGTTCCCAATTCTTCCTCCCAAAATAATTCTAAGTGTTACTAGTTGATAAACACATGACAGGTCACTGTTAATATAAACATTAAAAGTAGTCGGATGAACAAAAAGCACGAACCCAAATCTAATCTCCACTACATAAAACAATTACTACTGAAATTCTCAGATGACAGGATTAATGTTATGTTGGGTAATGAGACAACAAGCAAAAGACAAAGCAGACAGAACATAAACAACGAAAAGGGGGGAAGGCAAAACAAAAGGATGACCAAAAGCAACAGACAATTCCAAAATTCATGTCAAATCCTAAGTATCTCTAGACTTACTCAAATATATAATTATTAGAAAATCTTAATGTAAGCTATGATTTATGATTTAGGTTAAATAAATCAATTCAAAGCCAGCAAGTAACTGGATAATCATACTTGAGCAGTTTTAAGAATTAACATATGAAACAGGAGGAAGGAAGGTCTATGTTAAACAGCAGGTGGTATTTTGAAAGAGGAATTTAACATTACTTTATTATTTACTAGGGAGAGACAAAATACATTATACCTGACCAAGCTGAAGTGCTGTCATACATTTTGACCTTCAGAGACTACATTTTAGGCCAAAGATAAGGATACGATCTGTACCTGGGAACAAAACACCACCTTTGATCATTTCTCCCATGATGCACCCAACTGACCAAATGTCAACTGAAAACAAAATGCAATGACATTAACATAAAGATTTTGGTTAAAAAAAATATATATATAAACATTAAAAAAAAATCACACACACTATGTACAGTTTAAAATGATAAAAAGCAGTATAAAATAAAAATGAGTGACAGTGAATGGGCTCTGACTACCAGCAGAGACTGTATGTCCTACTGCCAGATGCAGCCTAGAGATACTCTAGCTTCTTCTCCAAACAATGTTTTGAACTATAACAGTCACAAACTTTATGTCTGTTTACATAAAACACGTGTATGAATGTGCCATATTCATCTTCATTAGAGAACATACGGAACTTCGTCACCTAACTCATTAAACTGCTGCAGCAGCACAAGGATACAGTCCCTTCCTGGAAAGAGGATTTTGTGGCAAACCATTTCTCCCATAATGCACCCCACAGACCATAAATCCACTATATGTTTGCAGCACAAAAGAAGGAAAAGCAAAGCAAAAGGTCATTTAAAATCAAAGAAGCATAATATGACTGCATTATTTAACAACTGCAAAAACATCACAAAAAGAAAAAGGTGATTTTAATTTTAGCTAATGGAATAAATTTAAAACAAAATATTTTCCAACAGACTTTGATTCACAAAAGAAAACAAAGTGTGGTGTTTTAACTAATTTTATCTAATTTTAAAGTGAGAGCTATGCACAGAAATTACATAATAAAAAAGCCTATTTTGTACCTGATAATTTGTGGATAAAATATGGAACAGAACCAGACCCAAACTTTGAAAATAAGACTGAAAATGTACATGAGGTAGCAAGACTATAAAAACAAAATCTTTCTATTATTCTGAAGTTCAACTGTGCATTATACTCTTTCTTTAAGACAAATAAAAGAAAAAAGCATGAGCAGAAAAAATTTAGCATATTGAAATATTTAACATATAGACTGTATCTCTAAGAATAATTACAGTAAAAAGTTAATCTAAAGCTCTTCAAAATTTTTCAAACTAGATTGAATATATTCATTTAGCTGAGATAAACTACGTTTACTCTGAATTAAAAGTCAAATGATTTTCTTGGCAACATCATGCTCCATTTCTCCTACTATCCCAAAAGAAACAAGTACACAGAGAATAAACAACCAATCCAATTAAGAAAACTTAGTAAGAGCAGTATATTTCATATGTTTCCTACCAAAAGCCTTTTAAATCCATAAACAATGTTTCTTTTGGTTCAAGAAGTTAGTTTTGGCTGCATACAGTAGGAAAGTTCCCGCAGACTCTTTACCTAGAGTCTCCTAGCAAACTTACTGACTCTCACCACCTTTAAATGGGACCCCTGACCAATGCTGATAAGAATCTGCTAGACACAGAAACAGGCAATGTGGGGATTTCCATCTGCTTTATTAAAACTAACAACACACCCTGAAATTCATACCTTTGGGTTTGAATATAAGATAAAAAGGGGAGAGTATATGGTTGCAGTTCAATAGGAGAAGAGGGGAAGAATAAGTAATTTAAAAGGAAAAGCCTTGAAACCTGCACTTGGTTTTGAAGTTTGAAGGCCCAAATTCTTTCAGGGCAAGAATGGATGTTACAGAGGTACACCCTTCGCCCATGTCAGAGCACTCAGGAAGTTAATGTCTGTACTTTCAGCTATTTCACTGAAGAGTCTCAAGAGTGAAACCGGAAATAACTTTTGGAAAGCCTATGGAAATAAAGTTTCCCTAAAATTTTATATTAAAATGCATACAAATATTTTTTTATATTTTGGTATGATTCAAATTTCATGAAAATTTAATATTCATAAATCAGTCTGTTAGAGAAAAATTTTTTCCCAAGGATTGTTTTTAGCAAAAAGCTATTACAGTGAGTCTTCCCTTATAGATTGGTAGAGTCACAAACTTTAGTTAAAAACCCAGGAAACAACTTATGTAGGTAATCTTAAGAAAAACAAAAATATTTTGAAGGCTGCAACCATGAGAAAAGGTACTGTCAGTTTCAGTGAAGGTTTTCTAAGAACACGGTAAGCCTTACTCATACAAAAAACTAGCTTTAAAGGGTTCTACTGCTTCCTCCAACAGGTCACCTTAACTATCCATCAGCTTTGAAGATGACCTTATTGTAGCTCTTGAGGTTTACACTAAGTGCTGTTACTACTAACTGACATTGCACCACTCAGCTGACAATTTTAAGTTCAATAGGAAACGGTTAATTAACTCTCACATTTTATGCTGGTAAACAGGAAAACCAATAATCCTAGGCAAGCAAATAGCACAGATTCAGTTTTAGGGGTTACAGCAGCAATTTCTTTAGTTAACTGTAGTATTGATGGTGTGTGTATTTGTATTTAAAGAAACGGCCCCAAGTTTTTCCAAACATTCAGGACAAAATGTATAGTTACTTTCAAACTCCTGATACACGTTTAAATCAGTGATACACATTTACTTGTGCACTTCAGCTTAAACATTTCACATAAAAAATATGATGAAAAAAAGAAAACAAATGAGAACTGTATGTCAGATAAATCACGTTTGCTGACCGTTTTCTTTGTAGCCCATCCCTAGGATGACCTCGGGGGCTCTGTAGTAGCGAGTAACTACATAAGGTGTCATCATGAAACTCGTTCCTGCAGTTCTGGCCAGTCCAAAGTCAAGAATCTTCAACGTGCAGTCTGACTTCACTACTATATTACTTGGCTTTAAGTCCTGAAAAAAAGGCAACAAAAAACCCCTGCTATGATATAGATGACTATCTTGCAGTTCACAATTGTTACCCTATCTATCACTTGCAAAACGATTCGTGTTAATTGTCACTCTCTCTCACTATAATGGGTCTCAGTGTACAGACTCAGCACAATTGAGAAATTAGCTTGGTGGGCTTTTTTTTATTTCTGAATATACAGAGTTGTTAGAGAACTCAGAAATGTTTCCTTTACTAGCAATTATGATTAGCTAGAAATTTTAGGTAAAATGGAGTAAAAGGGATTTAAAAAGACATCTCCAAGCTCACATAAGGACTATTATGGTAAAAGAAAGAGTTGGCATTTACAGTCATCATCTACATATTACATTACCAGTATTTTTTTTAAACCACAATAAGCTTTATATAGATACTATGGATCAACAATGGGTTATTCTATGCCTTTTGTATTGGCTAATGTTCATTTATAAAGGAACAAAACAGTCATTATTAGCCTTTCCATCATTGATTTCCCATGTGAAATCACACAAATTTGCTTAAAAAATTTGGTCTGCATGTAGAGGTAGGCCATCACTGTCTTGGTGCCACTAATCCATATAACTACTTGCTGCTGATGCACTAAATAATGTCGTTGTGAAGAATTTTCCACTTGGCCCACTGAAAGGAAGGCAGCAGCACGAATACTCATGGCTTCATGCTCAAAACACTTCGCCTTTAGCTCCAATGAATTCTATTATGAACCAAGGGACCAAAGAAGAAAGCAAGCATATACTTAAAACACAAATACATCCCACTGTCTGTACTGGTGTGCAGTATTTAGGACCTTAGTTCATATATTAAGTATCAGTGATTACAAAGGAAAAAAAAAAAAAAAGCTGGCCTTAAAGACAAAGATCTCTTTTGTAATGCTTCTATGCTTCTATCCAGGAAACCATGTATGTAATCTTTAAGATATTCTGTCAGGCCATCATGGATGGGTTGAAAGCATATATAATCTAATAGTTTTATGATATTGAACATAAAAAGATATAGATAGGCTCTGTTTGTTGTTGTTGATTCTGACTTATAGTGACCATATAGAACAGAGTAGAACTGTCCCCATACGGTTCCCAAGGAACAGTTGCTGGATTTGAACTGCTGACCTTCTCGTTAGCAGCTGAAGCTCTTAACCACTGTGCCACCAGGGCTCCTGTATCAATAGGCTTAGTGAAACAAAATGAGAATTTTCATTATTGCTGCTCTGTAAACACAAAGTTGCCACTATTTCCAAGACACACTATTTCAGCAAGATAACACTGCATGTTCAAGAATAAATACTACAGACCTGGTTACCACTGCAAAGCCTATGGTGAAGGTTAAAGATCAGTGGCTTTTTATACTAGTACACTTTGGTCTAAAAATAAGACTCCATTCTTAAATACTTTATTTTGGAGGAATTAACAGCAATATATGTATTTTAGGAATAGATGATGTTGTTAAGAAAAAACAAACTGTCAAAAATGCCTCAAAGAATGTTAACTAAAATTCAAACTTGAATGTCAATGTGTATCTTTCTAAAGATGTTAGTAATGCTGTTAAGTATATATGAGCATAATTCTGAAAGCATGAATTTGTGGAAGAGGCAGTGGAGCTAAGCTAACAGTCTATCTCCTCCCCAACATTCTTCCAGCCCCCTTACAGTTAGGCAAGGGCACATGATTAGTTCTAGTTAATAGGATCTGAGCAGGAGGAAAAACAGAAGGGCCAGTGCACAACCTCCTGTCTTTACTCTGGTGACCAGTAACATTCCAGAGAGTGAATCCTCTGTCAGTGTGGGTTGCTGACCGTTCATGTAAAGCAGAGTTCCAGCCCCACACCCAACCCTGCCACAACCTGCACTGAACATACAGTGTGGGAAATAACCCTTTGCTGAGTTAAGCCACTGAGAACTGTGGTTTATTTGTTACCTCAGCATATCCTAGCCTATCATAACACTGTAATTGTCTAACAATGTAATTGGTGCCAGGAATGGGGTGTTAGTATTATAAAACCACAGGATCATGGGCTGAGCAGCAGGGAAACTAATATCAAAGGTTGGAAAGGTGATCCAGGTCATACAGTAGCAAAATATTTCATGAAGCTGTCACCTGCAATAATTAGGAAGACAGAGTACTTGCATAATGAGCTTCAAGCTCTAGAAGAGGATGTGGCAAAAAATGGCCTGCCTGTTTTTAAATAGAAAGTTGTACTGGAACACAGCCATGCTCCCTCAATTACCTATTGTCTAGGGCTGCTTTCATGTGACAACAGCAGACATGAGTAGCTGTGACAGAGACTATAATCAGCAAAGCCTAAAATATTTACTATCTGGCCTTTACCAAAATAATCTATTGACTCTTGCTCTAGAAGATGTTAGAAAACAAAACCTGAGTAGTGTGTGTTGGTGACTACTGGCTGCACTTTTTGGCAAGGCACTACAGGAGAGAGAGAGACATGGACAGACTTCAAAAGAACCGGCCACTTTAAAAGTAGAAATAAAAGGAGACAGAGAGTTCAGAATTCAGGGGAGTCTCTAGCAGCGAGCAGGGCTCACCAACATTCTGAAATCTGCTCTCCCTCAGTTTTCCAGTTCCCATATAGTTCTATGATTAGTTCAACCAATAGGCTTTGAGCAGAACACAGGTGTGTCACCTCCAGGCTGAAGCTCAGAAGAGACAATGCACACCATTCAGTTTTCTCCTCCCCTGCCACAGTGACCAGCAACTATCTAGATGGTACAACCTTATTCAGCTTGGGTCTCTGAGCCCCACCCCCAACACTGACTTGCACTGGACTCCTAATGGATGACAGCTCATGTTATTTCACCAGGTAAACAATCTCAGTCCAACAGAACAACTAGCCTAGGGTGAGGGGAATATACAATGAATAGCAAAGCAGAGAGACGAGTATCAATTGTGGCCTCAAGGCTAGCTGCAAAAGTAGGGTCTGTAATTCATTCCACTAATCAGCTTCTTATGCTATCCCAGGAAAAGAAACCAAACAAAATCATGGAGAAAGTTTTCAGAACTTAACGCATGGGAACAAGCGGTATAAGGGGTGGCCTGTAGTGGGTGCTGTGATGCCTGCTCAGATACTTGCTTCAAAACTGAAGCACTCCATCTTCCAGTTTCTTGGAGTGTTGGTGGCTGAGTTTTCAGCAAATTTCTCTCCAGGAACTGCCCTCAGACACCAAGAATCATCTTTTCCAAGGACATACCCCTTCCTAGGACCAGCATAAAGGACCAGCAGAGACATCAGCTGAGGTCTTTGGAGTAACTGCAACCAATTCAATTTTTGCCTCTGCCCAATTTTACTTCCCCTACTCCCTCAAGATGATAATCCTGAGAGCACTCCCCAATAAACTTCTAACATGTCTAGCTCCATCCTAGAGTCTGTTTCCCAGCAGCTGGACCTAGAAAAAAGCCTATTCTTTGTCGTAGGTAACAGATTCCAATATATCTCTTATTAGCTCAACATTCTTATACTATGTACATTTTCTGCAGTTGCACTTTATTTTGACTGCTTTATCTGTTGGCACTGATGGAGTGTATTAGAATTTACTAATGCTACTGTGTTTGTCCAGTTCTATTTTCTGCAGTTTTAGCCTACATACACTTGCCTACGTGTATCAACATATACATAATGGGAGTCTCAGCAGGAGAAGAGACAGAAAAAGGGGCAGAAAGAATATTTGAAGAAATAATGGCAGATAACTCCCCAAATTTGATAAAAGACACAAATCTACACACGACACACTATAATCAAACTGTCCAAAGACAAAGAGAAAATCTTGAAGCCAAGAAGAGAGAAGCAACTCATCAAGTATAAGGGATCCTCAATTAAGAGCAGATTTCTTATCTGAAACCATGGAAGCCAGAAGACAGTGGGATGATAGATTTAAAGTGCTTCAAGAAAAAAACTGTCAACCAAGAATTTACATCCAGCAAAACTATTGTTCAAAAATGAAAGAAAAACTAAGACATTATCAGATAAACAAAAGATGAGGGAGTTTGTTGCCAGTACACCTGCCCGATAAGAAATGTCAAAAGGAAATCTTTCCCGATTGAAATGACAGGGCATTAAATAGTCAAACAAATAGACACAAAGAAATAAAGAGCACTGGTGAAGGTAACTACAGATGTAAATACAAAAGTCAGTATTACTGGAATTTTATTTGTTACCTCCTGTTTCTTTTCCTGTGATTTAAAAGACAAATGCATAAGGCAGTAATTACAAACCTATGTAAACCAGCACACAATGTATAAAAATGTTAATTTGTGACAACAACAAAAAGAAGAGGGACAAAGATGAATAGGAGCAGAGATTTTATACACTACCGAAGCTAAGAGGAGCCCTGGTGGTGCAGTGGTTAAGCACTCCACTGCTAATCAAAAGGTCAGAGGTTCAAACCCACCAACTGGAGAAAGATGTGGCAGTCTGCTTCCACAAAGATTACAGCCTTGGAAGCCCTGTTCTACTCTGGGCAGTCCTACTCTGTCCTAGAGGGTCACTATGAGTTGGAATCAACTCAACAGCAATGGGTTACTGAAGCGAAGGTGATATTATTCAAAACAGACTGTTAAAAGTTTAAGAGGTTAATTATAATACACAGGGTAACCACTAAGAAAATAACTAACTAAAAAAAAAAAAAAAAACACACAGGAAATGAGAAAGGAATCAAAATGGTATATTATAAAAATCAAACAAAAAATTACAAAAATCAACTAAACATAAAAGAAGGCAGTAATGGCAGAAATAAAACACAAAAATGGTATAATGCATACAGAAAACACATAGCAAAATAGCAGAAGTCCCTCCTCTGAGCAATTACTTTCAGTGCAAATGGATTAAAATCTCTAATTAAAAAGCAGAGATCGGCCGAATGGATTAAAAACATGGTTCATCTGCATGCTGCCTACCTACAAGAGATCCACTTTAGAAATGAAGATACAAGTAAGTTAAAAGTAAAAGGATGGAAAAACATACTACAGGCAAACAGTAACCAAAGGAGAGCTAGGGTGGCTACACTAGTATTAGACAAAATAGATTACAAGCCAAAATAATTACAGAGAGAAAGAAGGATATTACATACTGACAAAAGGGTCAATACATCAAGATATAACAATTACAAACATATACTCATCTAACAACAGTGCCCCAAAACATATGAATTCAAAGCAGCAACAGACAGTTCTACAATAATAGTTGGAGTCTTTAATACACCACTTTCAATAATGGATAGAACATATATAGACATAAGATCAATAAGGAAATAGAGGACTTCCACAACACTATAAACTATAGACCTAATACACATACAGAATACTCTGCCCCAAAACAACAGAACACACATTTTTCTTAAGTGCACATGAAACATTATACAGACAGTATGTTAGGCCACAAAATAAGTCTTAATAAATTTAAATACACTGAAATCATTCAAAGTATCTTCAGCAACCACAATGGAGTGAAACTAGATATCTGTCACGGGAAAAACTGGGAAAGTCACAAATCTGTGGAAATTAAACAACATACTCTTAAACAACCAATGGGTCAAAGAAGAAATCACAAGGGAAATTAGAAAATACTTTGAGACGAACAAAAACAAAAACACAACATATCAAAACTTACAGAATGCAGTTAAGTGCTTAGGGGGAAGCTTATTACTGAAATGTCTACATTATAAAAGAAGAAAAATCTCAAATCAATTACCTAACTTGACACCTTAAGGAACTAGACAAAGAATAGCAAATCAAACTCCAAGTAAGCAGAAGGAAAAAAATAATAAAGATTAGAGCACAGATAAGTAAAATAGAGAACAGAAAAACAAGAGAAAATAAACAAAACCAAAAGTTGTTTTTATAAAAAAAAAAATCAACAAAATTGACAAACCTTTATATAGATTGGCTTTTTAAAAAACAAACAAAAAACAGAAAAGACTTTAATTACTAAAATCAGAATGAAAATAGGGACATTACTACTGACCTTACAGAAATAGACGATTATAAGAGAATACGATGAACACTGTACACTAACAAATTAAATAATTTAGAAGACATGGAAAATTCTTAGAAACACAAACTATTAAAACTGACTAAAAAAGAAACAGAAAATCTGAACAGACGATAAAATGTAAGGAGAATGATCAGCAATCAAAAAATTCCCAGCAAAAAAAAAGTCCTGGACCAGATAGCTTCACTGGTAAGTTCTACCAAACATTTAGAGAAGAAACTCTTGCAAAAAATAAAAGAGAAGGGAATATCTCCCAATGCTTTCCATGAGGCTGACATTACCCTGATACCAGAGCCAGACAAAGACATGACAAGAAAACTACAGACCAATATCCCTTTACAAACATAATTTGATGCAAAAATTCTCAACAAAATACTAGCAAACCAAATATAATACTATATTAAAAGAATCATATGCCATGACCAAATGAGTTTTCCAGAAAGGCAAGGGTGGTTCAACATAGAAAATCAATTAATGTAATATATCACATTAATTAAAAGAACAAAGGGAAAAAACTCCCATGATCATCTCAATTGATGCAGGAAAAGCACCTGATACAATAATTCAGTTATAAAAAGGAATGAAGCACCCTTTCATAATAAAAACACTTAAAACATATGAGGCAAAGGACTTCAACAGACATTTCTCCAAATAAGATATACAAAAGGCCAACAAGCACAAGAAAAGATGTTCAGCATTACTCGTTGTTGTTCTGTGCCGTCAAGTAGGTTGTAACTCACAGCAACTCTGTATGGCAGAGCAGAACTGCCCCGTAAGATTTTCTAGGCTGTCATCTTTACAGGAGCAGATCAGCAGGTCTTTGCCAACCTTTTGGTTAGCAGACTAAAGCTTAATGAACCATTCTGACACCAGGGCTCCTTTCATTAGTCATTAGGGAAATGCAAATCATAACCACAACGAGAAGTTTCTGATTAGGGTGCAGTGAATGTATGTTAATGGTGGTGGAATAATTTGGAAAAGTATAGTGAGAATGGCTGTACAACTTGAAGAATATAATCAATGTCACTGAATTACAGTGAAGAAATTGTTAGGGGGAAGAAAATAACACCACAATGAAAACCACTTTACACTCACTAGGATGGCTTTAATTAAAAAAAAAAAAAAGGAAACTAACAAGTACTGGGAAGGATGTGGACAAATTGGAACCCTCATCCAATGCTGGTAGGAATATAAAACTGTGGAAAACAGCTTACAGTTCTTCAAAAACTTAAACACAGAATTACCATGTGATGCAGCAATTCTACTTCTAGGCATATACTTACAAGAAAGAAAAACAGGTACTCAAATACTTGTACACGAATGTTCACAGCAGCACTACTCACAATAGCCAAACGTTAGAAACTCAAATGTCTACCAACGGATGAATGAATAAACAAAATGTGAAATATAAAAACGATGGAATATTATTCAGTTATAAAAAGGAATAAAGTACTGATACATACTACTACATGGATGACCTTGAAAACATTATGCTAAATGAAAGAAGCCAGACAGACAAGGTCACATCTTGGATGATTCCATTTACATGAAATATCCAGAAGAGATGAATAGACCAGAGACAGAGCGCAGACTGGTGGTTACCAGGAGCTAGGGGACAGAGGAAATGAGAAGTGCTGCATAATGGGTACAGGGTTTGGGGGTAGGAAAATGTTCTGGAACATGATACAGGCGGTAGTTGTACATCTGAATCTACTAAAAACCACTGAATTTTACACTTTAAAATGATAATTTTACATTATGTGAACTTCTCAACAAAAACAGAATATGATAATATATTTTTCGACTAACCCGATGAATAATTCCAGCAGAGTGCAGGTGCTTGATTCCACACAGCATCTGATAGAGAAGGTAGGACATTCTTTCATGATCTAGTTCCATCTGAATCACTTGGCAAAGATTTGCATCCATGAGCTCCATGACTATGTAACTTCATGGGTGAAAAAAGATGACAGCTAAAGTATGCAGCAACAATCTAAAAATAATCTGCTAATAATAAAATTTTAATTATCACACTTACACATCTTGAAATTCTTCCAGGGATTTCTGTGGTGTGAACACATTCAAAAGACCAATTATCTGTGGTAAAAGCAAGAGAGGGAGAAAAATTAGAAACCACTTTATAATACTTTCATTTGGGAACTGCAAATACATAGGTTGAAAAATTCTACCACCAGTTTAAAATCTTTCAAATTTTTAACTTTTAAACTCACGTAATCTCTCTCTTATTTTTATATGTTAAAACTTTATAAACAGAAGCATCACATAATCCATTGCATTTATGAAAACACTAAATTACTAATACTAAGTACCATGCTCAGATGCTAACTGAAAAGCTGGAGGTTCAAGTCCACCCACAGGAACACTGGAAGAAAAGCCTGGTGACCTACTGAAAAAAGTCATTTAAAACCCTATGGAGCAGTTCTACTGACACATAGGAGGTCACCAGGAATCTGAGTCAACTCAAAAACTTTTTTTTTTTTTTGTTTATGTCATAAGTTATATAAACCTCTACATTATTTGTCAGCAAACCTTAAACACATTCTGCCGTTTTTGTTTTCTTTTTTAAACTGTGCTTTAAGTGTAAGTTCACATTTCAAGTTAGTCTCTCATACAAAAATGTATAGACACATTGTTTTGTGATCCTAATTGCCCTTCCTGTAATGTAACATCACACTCCTCCTTTCCACCCCGGATTTCCGGTGTCCATTCAACCAGCTCCTGTCCCTTTTTGCCTTCTCATCTCACATCTGGACAGGAACCCCACATTTAGTCTCATTTATCTACTTGAGCTAAGAAGCACACTCTTCACGAGTATCATTTTATGTCTTCTAGTCCAGTGTAATCTATGTCTGAAGAGATGGCCTCGGGAATGGTTTCAGTTCTGGGCTAACAGAGTCTGGAGGCCATGTCTTCTGGGGTCCCTCTAGTCTCAGTCAGACCATAGTCTGGTCTTTTCACTAGAATTTGAGTTCTGCACCCCACTTTTCTTCTGCTCCATGAGGGACTCTCTGCTGTATTCCCTGTCAGGGTGGTCACTGGTAGTAGCCAGGAACCATCTAGTTCCTCTGGTCTCAGGCTGATGGAGTCTCTGGTTTATGTGGCACTTTCTGTCTCTTGGACTAGTATCTTCCTCGTGTCTCTGGTGCTCTTCACTCTCCCTTGCTCCAGGTGGGTTGGGACCAACCTATGCATCTTAGATGGTCGCCCGGTAGATTTCAAGACCCCAGACACCACTCACCAAAACAGGACGCATAACATTTTCTTAACAAACTTTGTTATGTCAATTGACCTAGATGTCCCCCGAAACCATGGTCCCCAGACTCTCGCCCCTGCTACTCTGTCCCTCAAAGTGTTTCGCTGTACTCAGGAAACTTCTCAGCTTTTGGTTTAGTCCAGTTGTGTCAACGTCCCCTGTAGTGTGCACTGTCCTTCCCTTCACCTAACAATTTTTATCTACTATCTAGTTAGTGAATACCCTTCTCCCTCCCTCCCCACCCTCATAACCATCAAGAACGTTTTCTTCTGTGTTTAAACCTTCTCTTGAGTCCTTATAATAGTGGTCTCATACAATATTTATACTTTTGTGACTGACTAATTTCACTCAGCATTATGCCTTCCAGATTCATCCACATTATGAGATGTTTCACAGATTCATCGTTGTTCTTTATCACTGCACAGTATTCCGTTGTGTGAATATGCCGCAATTTGTTCATCCATTTGTCTGTTGATGGGCACCTAGATTGTTTCCACCTTTTTGCGATTGTGAACAGTCCTGCAATGAACATGGGTGTCCATATATCTATTCATGTAACGGCTCATATTTCTCAAGGATATATTCCAAGGAGTGTGGGATTGCTGGATCGTATGGTACTTCTATTTCCAGCTTTCCAAGGAAGTGCCAAATCTATTTCCAAAGTGGTTGTACCATTTTACATTCTCTCCACAACTTCTCCAACATTAATTATTTTGTGTTTTTTGGATTAATACTAGCGTTGCTGGAATGAGATGATATCTCATTGTAGTTTTGATTTGCATTTCTCTAATGGCTAAAGACTGCCAGCATTTCCTCATGTATCTGTTAGCCGCCTGAATGTCTTCTTTGGTGAATTGCCTGTTCATATCCTTTGCCCATTTTTAAATTGGGTTGTCTTTCTGTTGTTGAGGTTTTCCAGCATCTTGTACATTTTAGAGATTAGACACTGATCAGATTTCTCGTAGCCAAAATTTTTTTCCCAGTCTGTAGGCTGTCTTTTTACTCTTCTGGTAAAGTCTTTTCATGAGCATAAGTGTTTGATTTTTAGGAGCTACCAGTTATCTAGTTTCTCTTCTGACGTTTGTGTACTGTTATTAAAGTTTTATATTCTGTTTATGGCATGTATTAGGGCTCCTACCGTTATCCCTATTATTCTTCCATGACCTTTATCATTTTAGATTTTATATTTAGGTCTTTGATCCATTTTGAGTTAGTTTCTCTGCATGATGTGAGGTATGGGTATTGTTTCGGTTTTTACAGATGGATATCCAATTATACCAGCACCATTTGTTTAAGAGACTGTCTTTTCCCCCATTTATGGACTTTGGTCTTTTGTCAAATATCAGATTCTCATCGAACACTGATTTTATGTCCGGATTCACCATTCTGTTCCATTTGTCTATGTATCTCTTGTGCCAGAACCACTGTTTTGACTACCATGGCAGTATAATAGGTTCTAAAATCAGGTAGTGTGAGGCCTCCCCCTTTGTTCTTCAGTAATGCTTTACCTATCCAGGGCCTCTTCCCTCTCCATATGAAGTTGGTGATTTGTTTCTCCATCTCCTTAAAAAATGCCACTGGAATTTGGATTGGGATTGCATTGTATCTGTAAATCACTTTGGGTAGTATTGACATTTTCACAATGTTGAGTCTTCCTAACCATGAGCAAGGTATGTTTTTCCGCTTATGCAGGTCTCTTTTGGTTTCCTGCCGTAGTGTCTTGTAGTTTTCTTTGGATAGGTCTTTTACGTCTCTGGTTAGACTTATTCCTAAGTATTTTATCTTCTTGGGGGCTATTTTAAATGGTATTGACTTAGTGATTTCCTCTTCAAAGTTCTCTTTGTTAGTCTAGAGGAATCCAACTGATTTTTGTATGTTTATCTTGTGTCCTGAAACTTTGCTGAAATCTTCTATTAGTTCCAGTAGTATTCTTGTGGATTCTTTGGGGTATTCTGTGTGTAAGATCATATTATCTGCAAATAGAGATACTTTTACTTCTTCCTTACCAAGTTGGATGTCCTTTATTTCTTTTTCTAGCCTAACTGCTCTGGCTAGGACCTCCAGCACAATGCTGAATAAGAGTGGTGATAAAGGGCATCCTTGTCTGGTTCCTGTTCTCAAGGAGAATGCTTTCAGACTCTCTCCATTTAGGATGATGTTGACTGTTGGCTTTGTACAAATGCCCTTAATTATGTTGAGGAATTTCCCTTCTATTCCTATTCTCCTGAGAGTTTTTATCATGAATGGGTGCTGGACTTTGTCAAATGCCTTTTCTGCATCAACTGATAAGATCATGTGGTTCTTGTCTTTTGTTTTATTTATGTGATGGATTACACTGATTGTTTTAATAATGTTGAACCATCCCTGCATACCTGGTATAAATCCTACTTGATCATGGTGAATTAGTTTTTTGATATATTGCTGAATTCTATTGGCTAGAATTTTCTTGAAGATTTTTGCATCCATGTTCATCAGGGATATTGGTCTATAATTTTCTTTTTTTGTGGTGTTTTTGCCTGGTTTTGGTCTCAGGGTTACGCTGGCTTCATAAAATGAGTTTGGGAGTATTCCACCCTTTTCTATGCTCTGAAATACCTTTAGTAGTAGTGGTGTTAACGCTTCTCTGAAAGTTTGGTAGAATTCTCCAGTGAAATTGTGTGGGCCAGAGCTTTTTTTTTTTTTTTCTTATTGTACTTTAGGTGAAGGTTTACAGATCAAACAGTTTCTCATTAAATAGTCAGTACACACGTTGTTTTATGACATTGGTTAACAACCCCATGACATGTCAACGCTCTCCCTTCTCAACTTTTTCTTTTTTTTTGGTGAAAATATACATAGCCAAAGATACAACATTTCAAAAATTTCTACATGCACAATTCAGTAACATCAATTACGATCTTCCAGTTGTGCTGCTATTCTCACTTTAGGTGAAGGTTTACAGAACAAAACAGTTTCTCATTAAACAGTACACACGTTGCCCTATGACAATGGTTAACAGCTCCACTACATGTCAACACTGTCCTTATTCAACCTTGGGTTCCTTATCACTAGCTTCCTGTCCCCTTCTGCCTTCTAGTCCCTGTCCCTGGACTGCTGTGCCTCATTAGTCCCGTTTTGTTTTATGGGGCTGTCCAATCCCAACTGAATGGTGAACCTCGGAAGTGACTTCACCACTGAGCTAAAAGGGTGTCTGGGGGCTATACTCTAGGGGTTTCTCCAGTCTCCTTCAGGCCAGTAAATCTGGTCTTTTTTGTGTGAGTTAGAATTATGTTCTACATCCTTCTCCAGCTCTGTCCAGAACCCTCTGTTGTGATCCTGGTCAGAGCAGTCAGTGGTGGTAGCCGGGCACAATCTAGCTGTACTGGACTCAGTCTGGTGGAGGCCTTGGTAGCTGTGGTCCATTAGTCCTTTGGACTAATCTTTTCCTTGTATCCTGTTCTCTTCATTCTGCCTTGCTCCCGAACGGGTGGGACCAGTGGAGTATCTTAGATGGCTGCTCACAGGCTTTTAAGACCCCAGACGCTACTCACCAAGGTAGAATGTAGAACGTTGTCTTTATAAACTGTGTTATGCCAACGGAGCTAGGTATTCCCCGAGACCATGGTCCCCACAGCAGGGCTTTTTTTTGTTGTTGTTGTTGGGAGTTTTTTAATTACCTTTTCAAGTTCTTCTTTTGTTATAGATTTATTTAGTTGTTCTACCTCTGTGTTAGTTTAGCTAGGCAGTGTGTGTCTAGAAATTTGTCCACTTCAGCTAGGTTTTCAAATTTGTTAAGAGTATGATTTTTCTTAGTATTCTGTTACGATTCTTTTAATTTCATTTG